GCCACAGTGAAGGGCGGCGGGGCCGCAGCGACGATCGGCGGGGCCGTAGCGAAGGGCGGTGGGGTCGTAGCGAAGGGCGGCGGGGCCGCAGCGAAGGGCGGCGGGGCCGCAGCGAAGGGCGGCGGGGCCGCAGCGAAGGGCGGCGGGGCCGGGACAGGGCGGCGCCGATGCCGTAGGGCTAGGGCGATGGGGCCGTAGGGCTAGGCGACGGGGCCGCTAGGGCAATGGGGCCGCTAGGGCGATGGGGCCGCTAGGGCGGCTCGACGAGAGGAGAGAGAGGAGCGCGACTCGGGCTGGGCGCGCTCGGGGCAGGAAAAAAAAAACTTTCGATGTGGTGGGCCCTAGGCATAGTTCCCACTAGGGAACCTGCTCGATACCATGAGAAAACTGAAACGAGAATGAATTGACTAAGTGAAAGTTGGGTACAAATACAAACCCTAGAAAGCTGTACCCCATATGTGCTACCCCACTATAGCCTACAATAGCTATGTCATATAAATCTGACAATACCAGCAGCGATTATCAGCGATAGGGACACGAGGTTCACCAGCAACTTCTGGAAGAACCTCTGGGAGCAGTTCGGGTCCAGGGTACAGTTCAGTTCGTCGTACCACCCCGAGACCGACGGTCAAACGGAGCGGACGAATCAGACAATGGAGCAGTTGATTTGTGCCACATGCGACGACCCCACGACTTGGGAGCAGCAGCTGCCGCTGATCGAGTTCGCGTACAACAACGCCACATCAGCGACGACGCAGCAGTCCCCCTTCTACCTGAACTACGGGCAAAATCCTACAATGCCCATGATGCCGAGTCCAGACAACCCAACACCACGTGCATAGCAATTCGCCGAAATTCTGCAAGCTGCCCACACCAGAGCCGCAGAAGCAATTAAAAAAGCAAACGTCATTGCTAAGCGCAACGCTGACCGCCACCGCCACCCAATCACATACCAGTCAGGGGATTACCGTAAGCCCCTGGATAGAAGCACATGCCTCGGATAAGCGTCGGCGCTTATAAAAGGATGAGGGCGCTTATATCCGCTCCTCGATTATAAGCGCATGCTTCGAGCCTTACGGATTATAAGCGCACCCCTACTACCTTACACATTATAAGCGCCACCATTTAAATACTACATTTTTTAGTTTTGCGCTGTTACAATTAGTATCCTACGTTTTCTCTTAATATCTGACTACATATTCGCATTTTCTACATTTTCTACCACATTTTCACGTCCTACACATTTCTACTTTACCCACAACCTAGGCATCCTCCTCAGCAGTGGCAGTGCCTTCGTCGGCGGTCTCACCGTCCGACTCTGGCTCATCTACGTTGTTGCAGCAGAATCCATCTGCTGCAATCTCGTCGTCAAGATCCACTTCGCCTTTGACGGCATCCCGCCGATGCTGCAGGCAGAGACCGTCCTGAGACCCGTCCAAGGCGTTACTGATGCTGCAAGTCAGAAACGAGCGCTCAATCAACTCCTTGGGCACCACCTTCCAGGCCTTGGATATCCACTTGAGCGTCAGCTCAGGTGGTGGCTTGCGGGTGTTGCCTGCCACACGTAGAAAGATTCATCAGTTAGAACAGGGTCAATAATTGAAAAACAATCAGTCCTAAATCTTAAATCTCACCTCTTTCAGTCAGGCAGTCAACACCCTCGCTCTCGAACCATTCCTGGTACTGTTGTCGCACAGCTTCTGTGAAGGAGCGGTTCACCGCGACGTCCAACAGCTGCACCTCCGATGTGCAGCCAGCTGGTATGACGGCCGGCACGATACGCAGCTCGCCGAATTTCGCCCTCACTTGATCAGTCAGGTGCCCGCGGTAGGAGTCAAGCACCAACATCGCCCTCCTGCTGCGCACTCTGAACCTCGGGTTGACGTACGGGCCCACCATACCGTCGAGCCAAGCGAGGACGCCTTCCGCGTCCATCCAACCGTTGGGATGTGCGGCGACCACGACATCTGCACATCTGCACAATGTTGAGATTGACATCAGTAAAAAAAAACAACACATGCAAATCCTACCGGGACTGCACAAGCTGCTCGGCTTACTGGAGGGGAAATTCCCCTTTGGAACTATCTTGCGCTTAAAGAACACCCAGGGCTTGAGCTTCTCGCCGCTGGCGGTGCAGGCGAGCATCACCGTCAGCGTTCCTTTTGATAGCCGCCGCTGCGGATGGGCACGGAGCGGACCCCCACCTCCTCGACAGTGCGTTCAGCTGGCATTTCGAGCCAGAGCGGGGTCTGATCCGCATTAATGATCCAGCGGTTGTCGATTCCGTACTGTCGGCGGGTGTGTCGCACGAACTTTCAGAAGTTTCGCACCTGCGTCTCACACTCTGGAAGGGATGGGGAGGCAGAAACCATAAAAAAACAATACCACATCGACCGGTTGGCAAAGGGGATAAACAAGAGCGAATACAACACGCCCACTCACCGGAGGATAGTTTCTGACCGACACGGGTCTTCGCTCGGGTAGTGAGATTCCAGCGGCGCCGAAAGAGCTCGGTCCACCTCTGAGATCCCGCCCACTTTACCTCAGGATGCAGGCTCTTCATCACCTCTCGCGACCACTGCTGCAGGCGGCCGACCGACACTGCGAGGCACTTTTTTCGGGCGTCAAGTACTCGTGAGTAGACCTGGATCTCCATGTCGCGATACCACGACGACCGACCACGCCCGTGAAGACGCTTGCGAGCCCCACGCGCGCCCTCCAGCTCACCCTTCCGCGATTTCCATACTGCCAGGGACTTTCGGGAGATACCAGAGTCGCGTGCCATCTTCCGCATACTCACGGCACCGGACTCCAGGTGTGAAATCCAGTGCAGCTTCTCCTGAGAAGTATAGGAGTGCCGCTTGTGCCTTGAGCGCCTGCTCCTGGGAGACGGGGGGCGGGAATCACGATTCTGGGTGCAGGGGTGGGGCCTTTTTTTATTGGGCGGGGGAAAACTTGGGACAGGCAAGTCCTCGGGAAGACCGTCGGCCGCCCACCACTCAACATCGTCTTCGGCACCGGTGGCGGATTCGTCGTGCGGGCAGTCTTCCGGGTCTCCCCAACGTGGCGAAAGACCGGGACCGGTTTCATCTTCGTCGCTGCGCTCGGGCTCGTGCTCGGGCTCGGAGATGTACGCATCGAAAGCAGAGTAGCTGCGAGGGAGAAGCTGCAGAATGGGCACACCGTTGATGACGACGATAGGCGGAGCGGGAGGAGCAGGAGGCGCTGGAGGTGCAGGAGGCGCAAGAGGAGCAGGAGGCGCAGGAGGAGCAGGAGGTATTGGCGCTAGACGACTCTGCCACTGGGAGTAATCGAGAGCTTTGTCAGCAGCACCTCGGCGCTTAAAGACGAAATGGGTGCCTGGTCGGCCCGCCATAGCTAAGGCAGGCCGATGGGAAACAAGAAATCTGAAAAAAACAGGGAGAATGAAGCATGTTTGAAACCCTTGCCCGAGACCCCTCCAACTTCGCGGCCCAGGTTCCTCTGCAGACTAAGGGGAGAAACAGTCAAGATCTCCCCGCAAAGGAGCTGATGTGGTGAGGTCCAAGCGTTGTTGGCAAGGAATCTTGCCGCATATGCCCCGTTTGTGGTTTTACTGTCAGAACATATAGCTTTTGCATATTGTGTAGGCTATAGTGGGGTAGACCATAAGGGGTACAACCCAATTAGGGTTAGTACTTGTACTCAGTTCATTCATAGTTCATTCATTTTCATTGCTCAACTCTTCTCATGGTATCGAGCAGGTTCCCCTGTGGGAACTTTGCCTAGGGCCCACCACTTCGAAAATATTTTTTTTTCCTGCCCGAAGCGCGCTCATCCCGAGTCGCGCCTCGGGATTTTACCTCGACGAGCTGCCCTAGCGGCCTTCCCTCCCCTAGCGGCCCCGCCGCCCTACTGTCGCGGCCCTGCCGCCCTACTGCTGCGGCCCCGCCACCCTGCCTTTGCGGCCCCGCCGCCCCGCTTTAACGGCCCCGCCGCCCTGCCCTACTGTCGCGGCCCCGCCGCCCCACATCGCGACCCCGCCGCCCTGCTTTAGCGGCCCCGCCACCCTACGGTCGCGGCCCCGCCGCCCCACTTGCGGCCCCGCCGCCCTGCCTTAGCGGTCCCGCCGCCTTACTGTCGCGGCCCCGCCGCCCCACTTCGCGGCCCCGCCGCCCTACACCTGCGGCCCCGCCGCCCTACACCTGCGGCCCCGCCGCCCTACTCTACCGGCCCCGCCGCCCTACTGTTGCGGCCCCGCCGCCCGTCTGCTGCGGCCTCGCCGCCCTACACCTGCGGCCCCGCCGCCCTACTTCACGGGCCCCGCCGCCCTACTCTACCGGCCCCGCCTCTCTACTGCTGCGGCCCCGCCGCCCTACACCTGCGGCCCCGCCGCCCTACTTCACGGGCCCCGCCGCCCTACTCTGCCGGCCCCGCCGCCCTACTGTCGCGGCCCCGCCGCCCGTCTTCTGCGGCCCCGCCGCCCTGCACCTGCGGCCCCGCCGCCCTACTGCAAAGGGCCCCGCCGCCCGTCTACTGCGGCCCCGCCGCTCTCCCCTCCTGCCGCGCCGCCCGTGCCGCCGACTGCTGCACCACCCTGCCGCGCGCACCCGAGCAGCCGACCGCCGCGCCGCCCATACCGGAGGAGCCGAGCCGCCCTGCCGCCAAGCTGCCCGGCCGCCCACCAGCCGAGCCGCCGTGCAGCCGAGCCGCCCAGCAGCCGAGCCGCCGAGCCGCCGAGCCGCCCAGCCGCCGAGCCACCCAGCAGCCGAGCCGCCCCGCCGCCGAGCCGCCCAGCAGCCGAGCCGCCGAGCCGCCCAGCCGCCCAGCCGCCCAGCCGCCAAGCCGCCCAGCCGCCGAGCCGCCCAGCAGCCGAGCCGCTCCGCCGCATAGCCGTCGAGCCGCCGAGCCGCCGAGCCGCTCTACAGCCGAGCCGCCCGACCTGCCCTGTCCGGTGAGCACAGCCCCACTGTCACTACGTGCCCTTCCCCTACTGCTTGCACTGCTAGTCTATCGTCGTCATGGCTACCCCTAGCGTCCTAGCTTTTGACGCTGAGGGTCGAGCCATTGACTTTGAGGTCTGGGTCGACGACGTGCAGCTGTTCTTACAGTGCGATAGGGCGGACGGCCTTTCTCTCTTTGACCTCACCTCTGGCGCCTCTCCTGCCCCTGCTGCTGATGCTGACCCCACTGTTCGCTCTCAGTGGGCCACGCGCGATGCTGCTGCACGTCTTGCTGTGCGTCGCCACCTACCTACCACTGAGCGCGCGCACTTTAGTCAGTACAAGAGTGCTCAGACCTTGTACGACGCGGTAGTTGCACGCTACTCTTCCCCTGCCACTGCTGCACTGAGCCGCCTCATGCTACCGTACCTCTTTCCTGACCTTGCTGCCTTTCCTACAGTCGCTGACCTCATTACGCACCTTCGCACTAGTGACACTCGCTACCGCGCTGCGCTTCCTGCTGATTTCTGCGCCAAGAACCCCCCCCCCATGTACATCACTCTCTATTACATAGTCACACGCCTCCCTGACTCCCTTCGCGTAGTCAGGGACCACTTCCTCTCAGTCTGTCCCACCACTCTCACTGTTGACCTCCTCAAGAAGGCCCTCCTGGCGGCGGAGAAGAGCATCGTCGCTGTAGGAGCCTCTCGTGGTGACCCTCGCACCCCCATCTTTGAGGGGTGTTCTCCTTCCCCCCTGCTGCCCTCTGTTGCCTCTGCTGCTGCTGCCGACCTGCTTGGTCTTGAGTCGGTCGGCGCAGCGTCTGCCCCTAGCGGGAGACGCCGCCCTGGCAAGGGCAAGGGGGGCAAGGGCGCGGGTGGAGCTGGCGGGGGCGGTGGAGGTGGCAGTGGAGGCGGCGGAGGGAGTGGGGGTGGCGGTGGGAGTGGTGGCGGGGGTGGTGGTGGTGGTGGCGGCAGCGGAGGCGGAGGCGGTGGCGGCGGCAGCGGTGGGAGCGGGGGCGGCGGTGGTGGCGGAGGTGGAGGCGGCGGTGGCAGAGTGGGTGGAGCTGGTCGGGGTGGTGCCCTGCAGCGGAGCGGCTCTGGTGGTGGTCAGCGCCAGCAGCAGCAGCAGCAGCGTTCTCGGGACATCCCCCCGCCTCAGCAGCTCCGTGAGTGGTACACGCAGCGTCAGCGTGGTGGGGGTTTTGGTCCGTGCACCTACGTCCTTCGTTCCAGCGACCGCGCGGGTGAGCAGTGTGGGGGTGCCCACCCCACCCAGCGCTGCTTTGGCCGCCTGACGGACGCTTGGCGTCAGCAGTTCCCCGAGGCTAGTGAGATTCCCCGCTAGGGAGAGCTGTCTAGGGCTGGCGTAGCTATCTTTGATCTTGAATTTGATGCTATCCTTGCTGCCATGTATGCTGTTACTATTAGTGATGAGGGTAACTGTTACCGGTGTTTCCCGCCCGACCCGGGCATTGGTACTGCTGCGCTAGGTGCTTGTGAGGCTGCTGCTCTAGGTGCCACCGCGTCTGCGCCCTCAGGTACTGGTGAGGCTGCGCTCTCAGGTACCGCGTCGGCTTCGGCCTCCCTCACCTTCACCCTTGACTCAGGGGCTTCTCGCTCCTTCTTTCGTGACCGCACCACACTCACGCCGCTTGGTCGGCCGGTTGCGGTCTCCCTGGCAGACCCCTCTGGGGGTCATGTCCTCTCTCACTTCTCCACTGTCCTCCCGTGTCCGGCTGCCCCCTCGGGCACCTTGTCTGGTCTGTACCTCCCCTCGTTCTCGACGAACTTGGTGAGCGGTGCTGACCTGCAGGATGCGGGGGTTCACCAGTTTACTCCTGCGAGTCAGCGGGTGACCCACTGCTCGGACGCCCGCACAGGCCGACACCTGGCCACGTTTTCGTGTCGGCCGGGGTCGAGTCTCTACACCCTGACCACTGAGTCTCCTCCTGTCCCTGCGTCTGGCCAGGAAGCTGCGTCGGGTCAGGTGTTTGCTGCTGCGTCCAGGTCTGGTCCTGAGTCTGCCCCCTGCTCGTGTCGCCTCCTGTCTCACGAGACTCTTCTGTGGCACCACCGTCTTGGCCACCCCTCCCTGCCTCGTCTGCGGGGCATGGCTTCTTGTGTCCTTGTCTCTGGTCTCCCCCGGTCTCTCCCTCCCCTTCCTTCGGGGCCAGGACCTTCCTGTATCCCCTATGTCGAGGGGCGGCTCCGGACTGCCCCTCACTCCTCTCAGTTTCCCCCGACAGAGGCTCCTCTGCAGACGCTTCACATGGACGTGTGGGGCCCGGCCCGCATCCGTGGACAGGGTCACGAGCGCTACTTCCTGCTGGTGGTTGACGACTACTCGCGTTACACCACCGTCTTCCCCTTGCGCAGCAAGGGTGATGTCACTGAGGTGTTGATCGACTGGATCCGCGCAGCTCGTCTCTAGCTCAGGAGGAGCTTCGGCTCGGACTTTCCTGTTCTGCGTCTGCACTCTGACCAAGGTGGAGAGTTCTCCTTTGGCCTTCTGCGAGCCTACTGTCATGCACGAGGCATCCGCCAGACCTTTACGCTTCCGGACTCTCCGCAGCAAAATGGGATTGCTGAGCGCCGCATTGGCATGGTCATGGACGTCGCTCGTACGTCCATGATGCATGCAGCTGCCCCCCATTTTCTGTGGCCGTTTGCGGTTCGGTACGCGGCGCATCAGATCAACCTTCACCCCAGGGTCTCCCGCCCGGAGACCTCCCCAGCTCTGCTGTGGACGGGGAAGGTCGGCGATGCGTCTGCGTTCCGTGTCTGGGGATCTCGGGCGTTTGTCCGCGACTTGTCTGCGGACAAGCTGTCCCCTCGTGCTGCTCCCTGTGTCGTCCTAGGCTTCCCCCCTAACGCCCCAGGGTGGCAGTTCTACCACCCCTCCTCTCGTCGTGTTCTGTCCTCCCAGGACGTCACGTTCAACGAGTCAGTCCCCTTCTACCGCCTCTTCCCCTACCGCACTCCTTCCCTCCCCCCGCCACCGCACTTCCTTGTGCCAGGTCCCCCCCCAGTAGACCCCCTTCCCCCTCAGGGTCCTGCCCCTTCAGGTGTGTCCCAGGTAGACGCAATCGAGCCAGTCGAGGTTGCTGGTGACTCTGGTACTGCTGGGGGTGCTGACTCTGGGGGTGCTGCGCGCGTGGGTGCTGAGCTTGGGGGTGCTGAGCCTGGGGTAGCTGAGCCTGGGGGTGCTAAGCCTGGGGGTGCTGAGCCTGGGGGTGCTAAGTCTGGGGGTGCTGAGCCTGGGGGTGCTGCGACTTGGGGTGCTGAGCCTGGGGGTGCTGAGCCTGGGGATGCTGCGTCTGGAGCTGCTGAGCCTGGAGTTGCGGAGCCTGCGGCCACTGGACCACCCCTTGTGGCGTCTGGCGGTGCGGGGCCTGGAGGTTCTCAGGGTGCTTTGTCTCGGCGGGAGCCACTCTCTCCACAGGAGTTGCGCGAGTGGTTTGCTCGCCGCTGGAGGCGTACTGCTGGAGCTGGAGCTTCTTCAGCTACTGAGGGTACTTGTGCCGTTGGTCCCGGAGCTGCTGGGCCTTCGGGTCCGCATGGAGCTGGAGCTGCTGAGGGTGTTGGTGCTGAGACTGCTTCTGTCATTCCTGGCGGTGGTCCTGCTGCGGGTGCTGCTGGTGCTGCTGGAGGTCCTGCAGCTAGAGGTGCTGTTGGCGCTGGTGCTGCCGCTGAGGGTGCTGGTGCTGTCTCTGCTGTGTCTGAAGTTGCCGCGCGGCCTCGGCCGTTCTTCGTTCCACTCCTACAGCAGGTTCTTGGTCTTTCTCCTCCTGTAGAGTGTCCACCGCCTGTCCAGTCACAGTCACAGTTAGAGCCCGCCTCCCCACTTCCTGCTCCCTCTCCTTACACTGGTCCTACTGGAGGTCTTGCTGAGCGTCGTGAGCCTGCGTCTCGTCCTGCGTCGCCTGTTCGTGCTGCTCGCGCTAGTGGTCGCGGTTCGCGTCAGCGTCCTCCTCCTGTCCCTGGCACGCACTGGATGTCTCTGCGTCCGTCCACTGCTCCTCTGCGTGTCCCTTTGCCTTCTCCTCCTGCGTCCTCTCTTCCTGCGCTTGCCGACCCGGAGTCGGACTCTCTTCGTGCTGCCAGTCCTACTGTCACGCGTCTCCGTGCTACTGTCGTCACTGACCCCTCTTTTGAGTCCACTGCTGCGTTTGCTCTTGTTGCTGAGCTCGTCGACTTTGCTGCTCGCTCTCCTCTAGACTACGCTGCTAGTCTTGTTGCTGAGTCTGCGTCTGTCTGTCCTCCGTCCGTCGGGGGTGACTGTGCTCTTGGCACGGACGTCCTTGAGGACAGGCAGGAGGAGTTCCAGTGTCTGGCTGCTGCTTCACCTCATCTCGCGTCCGTACTGCTTGCCCCTGAGGGAGACCCGGATGCACTAGACATCCCGACTCCGCGCTCTTACGCGGAGGCCGTAGAGGGTCCCTACTCCTCTCAGTGGCATGCAGCTATGGATGCAGAGATGGCTTCCTGGAAGTCCATAGGCACCTACGTTGACGTGGTTCCCCCTCCTGGGGCGAACATCGTCAGTGGCATGTGGATCTTCAGGGTGAAGCGGCCGCCTGGCTCTCCACCTGTCTTCAAGGCGCGGTACGTGGCTCGTGGCTTCAGTCAGCGGCAGGGAGTTGACTACTTTCAGACCTTCTCTCCCACCCCGAAGATGACCATTCTTCGGGTGCTGCTGCACATAGCCGCTCAGCGCGACTACGAGCTTCACTCTCTTGACTTCAGCACTGCTTTCTTGCAGGGTAGCCTGCACGAGGAGATTTGGCTGCGCCGCCTACCTGGCTTCACTGGGTCTTTCCCTCCGGGCACCCAGTGGAGCCTCCGGCGGCGAGTCTACGGTCTCCGCCAGGCACCGCGTGAGTGGCACGACACACTGAGGACTACGCTTGCGGCTCTTGGGTTTGCTCCCTCTACTGCTGACCCGTCGTTGTTTCTGCGCACCGACACCTCTCAGCCGCCGTTCTACATCCTCGAGTACGTCGACGACTTGGTCTTTGCCACAGCGGACACTGCTGGACTCGCCTACGTGAAGTCCGAGCTGCAGAAGAGACACACGTGCACAGACCTGGGTGAACTGCGCAGCTACCTTGGCTTGCAGATCACCCGGGACAGAGCACAGCGCACCATTACCCTGACTCAGTCACACATGGTGCAGCAGGTCCTTCAGCGCTTCGGCTTCACGTACTCCTCACCTCAGGCCACTCCTCTGTCTACTCGCCACTCACTCTCAGCTCTGCCTTCGGATGAGTCCGTAGAGTCGAGTGGCCCGTACCCAGAGCTTGTTGGCTGCCTCATGTACCTGATGACTTGCACACGACCTGACCTTGCATACCCTCTTAGCATTCTTGCACGCTATGTTGCTCCTGGGAGACACCGACCAGAGCACATGGCTGCAGCGAAGAGGGTGTTGCGCTACTTGTGCAGTACGTCGGGCATGGGGCTAGTGCTTGGAGGGCGGAGTCCAGTGGTCCTCACTGGGCACGCGGACGCTTCTTGGGCTGACGACCAGGCTACTCAGCGGTCGTCGCAGGGTTACACCTTCAGTCTTGGTTCCGGCTCTGTCTCGTGGCGGGCTACTCGCTCGTCTTCTGTCCTCAGCTCCAGTTGTGAGATCTACGCCGGGGCCATGGCTGCACAGGAGCTTCGCTGGCTCACCTACCTGCTGACTGACCTTGGCGAGCTGCCTCGTTCTCCTCCAGTGCTGTACGTCGACAACAAGGCCATGCTGGCTTTGTGTCGAGAGAAGCGCCTGGAGCACAGAACAAAGCACATTGCTCTCTGTTACTTTCTTGCTCGTGAGCTGCAGCAGCGTGGTCAGTTGCGACTTGCGTACGTGGCCTCTGAGGCCAACACTGCTGATGTTTTCACCAAGGCACTTCCGCCTTGTGATCATCAGCGCTTTCGCATTCAGCTGGGACTTTTCCCAGTCTTGCCTCACTTGCTCACCTCTTGACTTTGCTTGTACTGTTACATATATATATATATATACCTGCTCTTGCTTGTTTAGCCTTATATATATATATGTCTACTCCTGCATGTGAACTGGCCTTGTGGCCTTGACCTTGTGCTCGGACTGTGTGGTGACTTTGTGATCCACCCTGAGCTTGCTTTGCTTTGCTTGACTGGTCTTGTGACCCCTTGTTCTCCCCCACTTTGCCTATGGGGGTGTGTCAGAACATATAGCTTTTGCATATTGTGTAGGCTATAGTGGGGTAGACCATAAGGGGTACAACCCAATTAGGGTTAGTACTTGCACTCAATTCATTCATAGTTCATTCATTTTCATTGCTCAACTCTTCTCATTTACTGCGTCGTGGCTAGCACGACAGTCGGCCCTGATTGGGCAGTCGCACACTAAACTGCGTGTGCGTTGGCATGGGCCAGATTCGGTACGATGAATGTGGCCAGGCGAGCAAGGCGTGGCGGGCGTGATTCCGCGCCTTGTTGGCAATTTGACGCGCGTTTCATGCACAAACTCGAAGGTTCTAGATGTGGATTGAATCCCCGTTTGAAAAGGCTTCAAATACATGAAAAGAAAAACCATTTCAATTTTGACATTTTATGGTCGCTGGCGCTTATAAAATTCCTCAATTATGTTGGGAACAAATAGTCTGAAGCGCCTCTTTCGTGTCGAAACTTCAAGACACAAGCAAAGCAGCGCAAATCGAAGCACCAGCGAGTCAACCCTCGGAGGTTGATGTAACCGCTGGAGGTTACGAGAAAGTCAAAGGCCAGCGACCTTTGACCTAACAAAAGCAGCGCGACAGCAAGGACACACAACTGACTCGACATTGAGCAGTTGCCCGAGTTGCACTGTATCGAAGCGCAACAGTAAAAGTAGTTACAATTATGTCTCTTCATATTCTCTGTGCTCATATATATTCCTGTATCTCTTTGCTTTAATCAACTTACTTTGCCCTCACATACTAGCGCAAGGTGGTTCAAGGACTTCATATAAAACGCTTCCGCTACTACATCATTCACTCAGACTTCAACTCTACTAAAGATCCTAGGGCGTTCAGCCCAACATGGTATGAGAGCTGGTTAGAGATAAAATTTCTCTTTTCTTCAAATACCTAAATACACCAAGAAGACATGTCTGCTAGAAAGGAGAGGAGCTCCTCCAACGGCTCTCCCGGTACTACCCCTACTCCACCTCCTGCCTCTGGCCTACGGACAGAGGAAGGGACAACAACTAGACCAGCAGCTGGGTCTACGGAAACTCCCGCTAACCAAGGCGCGGGCTTCGATCCAAGTATGATGGATAAATTCTTCTCCTTCATGTCCTTCTACGAGCAGCATCAGCAAGGAGTACCTGCGCAATCAAACAACAGCAACAACAACAACAACGTGACGCCCATGAGTCTCGATGGCTCATCCTACGCACGCGGGAACCAACATCAACAACCTACCTCTGCTCCGTACGAGCCCCAGCGCGGCTCCGTCAGCTTCATGCCGCAACCACAACCTGCACCGGGACAAGAAAGAGCACTGGACGCATTACAAGTTCAGTCGCAATTCGCGCATGTTCTAAAACTACAAATGACAAAACCCTTTGACGGGAAGGACTTTTTTACCTGGTCGTTCGAATTCGAGCTGATGATGGAAGGAGCGCAGATTCTTGGCTTCTTCGACGGGTCCCTGCCATATCCAACAAACAACACACAGTATGAGAAGCAGCAGTACACCTATCAATCGATGATGGCGTACACAATACTACTGAGGAAAATCACCCCTACTCAATAGCAGAACATAAGGACTTACCGAGGTTACGGTAACTCCGCGGAGCTCGCGTACAACCACTTGAAGAACCTGTATCAAGCAACAAACAGCGTAAACCAAAGTCGGTTAATGGCGCAGCTGACAACAATCGAAATGAAACCAGGCAAGAAGGGCATGGCGTATATCAGTCGCTCTCGCGAGCTGCGCGACAAGCTTCTTCGATGTGGAGGATCGATTTCAGAAGACGCCTTCGTCACGGTTGTCATCGGCGGTCTTGGCCCTCACTGGCGCTCCACTCGCGCCATACTACGAGCACACGGGAGAATCTCCGAAGCAGCACTCTGCGCCGAAATCCATGCCGAGCAGCAGGACATGGACCTGCAAGAAGAACGACATAAGAAGAAAACGTCAGTACTAGAGTTCGCGTTTCACACCCAGCGATGCTACAACAACAACAACAATTGGCAGCAACAACAATTGAAGCCAGTACCTCCGTTTTGCCACATCTGCAAGACTTCAGGGCATCCTCGTACACACTGCCCGTATCGTCAGCAATCGACAACACCACAGCGACAACTTTGGCCTTCAAGCTCCCAAGTCACTTCAACGCAAGCAAATCCCACGACAACGACTCAAGCCTCAACGACTCCAACAGGGCAACCTGCACAAGGAGCAAGAAACATCAACTCTATGGCAAAAATAACAGATTCCTGCATCACCGAGTCACCACCACACTACTCACCAGAAGAACGACTCGATGAAACCACACCTCGTCGCGAGTCACTTCAGCCGAACCCGACATACGCCGCCATCGCTCAAAGCGAGCCATCCGGAAGAGACACTTGGTTCTTGGACAGTTGCTGCGGACAACACATGTGCTCCTCAGGACGTTTCGTCCAACGCGAGCTCCAACTCCAACGAGAAGTCGTCATCACCGTGGCCAATAATCAAAACCTGCGCATAAGACGACAAGGCATAGTACAACTTCAGTCACGGGAGACAAACGTCGTCCTACAAATGTCAAAAGTTCTAATAGCAGAGAGACTCGGCTACAACCTTCTGAGCGTCAGCCAGCTGATGTCGAAGGGCATTCACCTGGAAGCCGACAGCACTAACCAGGAGTTCAAACTGTACCACGGGAAGGGCGGCCTCTACATCGGAAAGGCAGTTCTGAAGAACAACGTCTTTGTCCTTGACTTCGTCCCAGACCTGGGCACCGCAGACAGCGACGCCATCGTGAACTTCGCCGACTGGACGCACCCTCCAGATCTTGATCCAGAATTCAGCCCGGAAGGCTTCTGGTACTCGCACACCATCCCTGAAGCAGAACGAACACGCGCATTAGCAACAATTCAACATTCGACAGCAGCAGAGACAACATCGACAGCAGCAGAGACAACATCGGCAGCAGCAGAGACAACACCTGCAGCAGCAGAAACATCATCGGCAGCAGCAGAACCATCGTCAGCAGCAGCGACACCACTTCTCGTCGACAAAGCACCACCAACACCCGCACAGCAGCTGAATCCAACTCAATGAGAAGTCCGCAGAAGCGCAAACTTCGTCGCCAGCTTCTACTCCAACTCCGACGCATATCGACGCTCACCCGGACACCGCGCCTCCGAAGACATCTGGCACGCACGCATGGGACATCCAAGCAACACCGTGTTAAACAACACGATAAGAGCAGGAGTCCTAGAAAGGGACTCATTACTACTACCCGACGGCAGAGAACTTCAACGAGCACGAGGAACTTGCCTTACCTGCCCCGAAGCTGACTTACCACATCGACCATTTACTCCTCACCACAACCCGAGCGCACCCGCGTACGCACCACTCGAGAAGGTGTACAGCGATATTCTCTACAATCGAGAACCAGGACAAGTTACTTACAACTACACAATCACCTTCATCGACGCCGCCACTCGATACGTCTGGCACCTCAACCTACCCAGCCGCGACATGGCACTCGCAGCGTTCGCCGCCTGGCTACCAGTAGCAGAGAGAGAGTCGGGAGCACAACTGAAAAGCTTCCAGCCAGACGGAGGAGGAGAATACACCTCTCAGCGATTCAAGCAGTACCTGGCGGAAAGAGGAATCAAGCAGCTCCTCTCCCTTCCCTACGCCCATCAGCAGCAGGGTGTCGCAGAAAGAATGAACAGGACTCTGCAGAACAGCATGCGCAAACTGTTACGTGGCATGCGGCTTCCCAACCACCAGTGGCCTGCAGCAATGGACCATGCTGTCATGCTGCACAACTTGATGTCGTCGTCCTCACTTCCGAACAACGCATCACCGCATCTGCTGTGGACAGGGAAACAGGGCAGCACAAAAATGTTACGAGTTTTCGGGTGCATGGTACAGTACGGACCCCCAGAAGCACGAGCAGGAAGATTTTCACAACGCGCACCGTGGGGACTACACCTCGGCATCGAAAAGAATTACAACGCGTGGAAAATCTTCGACGTCCACTCCAAGGAAACAGTAGCAGCACGTGACGTGATCTTCTATGAACGACTCACGCTTCAGACGTACCTCGCCAACTTGCACGAAAATCAGGACCCCACAGGTGGCTTTCGTGGTGACCGAGCCTTCGCCTCAGCAGCGGACGAAGTAGACTGGGACGAGCAGAACATCGACAACGCATCAGAAGAAGCCGGACCTCTCCCGTTCTGCTCCGTCAACGTCCCCATGGACGAAGAAAATCCTCGCGAAAGCGCCAACGCCGAAATCTTCTACCACTTCGCCGACAACGTTTACGTAACACCTGCGACAGTCAACACCAACGAAGCAGAGCGGATAGGGCCGAATTTCATACCCGACCCAGAAGCGGGAGATGAAGCAGCTTATCCCGAGGACACAACTCTTCCCCGCTACTCACAGACTGGACTGCAGATTCTCGGCCTCGTCACCGGAGTCCACGGCAATGCTATGCCTAAAGAGCCTGCGACGGTTCAGCAGGCTCTGGGGGGGTAACGCCTGGAAAGTCGTTGAGCAGGGTCAAGGAGAAATGGCGTGAAGCCATGGACAGAGAATTAAAGGCGCTGGAGGAACGTAACACCTGGAAAGTCTTTCCCGTAAGCGTGGCAAGGAACAAGACCATCCTCACCGGGAAGTGGGTCTTCCGCATTAAAACAAAGGCAGACGGCACAATCGAGAAATTCAAAGCACGCTGGGTCGTGCATGGATTCGACCAGGAGCACGGACGGGACTTCACCGAGACATTCGCCCCGGTCAGCCGACATACCTCACTCCGAATGCTCCTCGCGATCACCGCTATGAAGAAGAAGAAACTGCGGCAAATCGATGTCGCCAACGCGTTCCTCTACACACCCGTTTCTTCGTCGAGCTCCCACACGGTTTGCCAGCTGCTGAAATCGCTCTACGGTATCAAACAAGCCCCGCGGCTGTGGCAACAGCACCTACACACTCGCCTCACTCGCATCGGATTCCGCCAACTGCCTCACGACCAAGGGATGTATCGACTCACCAAAACGCCGACTATATCCTGCTGATCATCTACGTCGACGACCTACTCTACATTGGCTCCACTGACGACGTCACCACCTGGTTCGAAGGGGAGCTGCAGAGGGACCTCACACTCACGGTCTCCTCTACTGTCACTCAGTACCTCGGACTCAACATCCGCGAAGAAGAAAACGCGATCTATCTCAGCGCCGAAAAGTATGCCGACACTATCGCCAAACGCTTCGCGCTCACACCTACTACTATCTCCACGCCATACCGCTACACGGCAGGGAACGACAAGGGAGGTCCCGCTCTACTCAAAACCGCCGGAATACGCGACTACCAGAGGAAGCTGGGCTGCCTTGTCTTCGCAGCCGTCACCTGCCGCCCAGATCTGTCCTACTCCGCAAGTCAACTCGCTACCTACCTCAAAAAGCCCGAAACAGAACACCTGGCGGAGCTCGACCGCGCTCTCCACTACTTCGTGAGCACCTCGACGATCGGCCTGACATACTACAAGAACACGACTACACCGACGAAACTAATCGGCTACGTCGACGCCGATCACGCCGGCGATTCAGACAACAGACGCTCCCGCACTGGCTACATCTACCGCCTCGAACCTATCGGTCCTATCTCCTGGCAATCGAGCAAGCAGGAACTAATCGCTCTCTCTTCAGCTGAAGCAGAATATATCGCACTCTGCTCAGCCACCAAGGAAGGACTCTATCTTCGCGAGCTGCTGGAAGAAGCGAAGTTAGCCGAGTTACCCAACTTCACTCTGTTCTGCGACAACCAATCTGCGATTCGCATTGCCAACAAGAGCGGATTCGCGAACAAAACGAAGCATATCGCTCTGCGATATTTCTTCGTGAAAGATGAGATCGAGAAAGGGAAACTCGAACTATCCTATAGTCCCACGTCCGAGATGGCAGCTAACTACTTGACCAGGAAGCTCGGAAAACAGAAGTTCGAGTACTGCATGCTGCTGACTGGACAAAGCCACGTCACCATCAGCGACACTCCAGAAGCGAAGGGGAGTGTTGGGAACAAATAGTCTTAAGCGCCTCTTTCGTGTCGAAACTTCAAGACACAAGCAAAGCAGCGCAAATCGAAGCACCAGCGAGTCAACCCTCGGAGGTTGATGTAACCGCTGGAGGTTACGAGAAAGTCAAAGGCCAGCGACCTTTGACCTGACAAAAGCAGCGCGACAGCAAGGACACACAACTGACTCGACATTGAGCAGTTGCCCGAGTTGCACTGTATCGAAGCGCAACAGTAAAAGTAGTTACAATTATGTCTCTTCATATTCTCTGTGCTCATATATATTCCTGTATCTCTTTACTTTAATCAACTTACTTTGCCCTCACATACTAGCGCAAGGTGGTTCAAGGACTTCATTTAAAACACTTCCGCTACTACATCATTCACTCAGACTTTAACTCTACTAAAGATCCTAGGGCGTTCAGCCCAACAAATTATAAGCGCACCCCCTAAAAAACAGTGTTTTATTATAAGCACAGGGGCGCTTCTATCCGGGGGCTGACGGTACGTACTGCTTGACACGCAAAATCTGCGAGTGCCCGACGTACCAAAACTTCGACCACGCTACTGTGGCCCATTCCAAATCAGCCACATGATCACGCCAGTAACCGCGCACCTACTGTTACCGACCGACTGGTACATCAGCCCTTCGTTCCACGTCAGCTTGCTTCGCCCATACATCCCAACCACAAGCCAACTACCTTGCCACCGCCCGCCACCCATGACTCGCCCTGCATCAGAGCCGATCATCGAGCCCGAAAAAATCCTGACCCATCGGATTCGACACCCCACGGGAATCAAGAGGATTGAATTCCTCGTTCGCTGGAAGGACCGCACGCCAACTGAAGATAGCTAGGTGCCCCTGGCCAACGTTGAAAACCACCTGATGTTGAGAATATGTTTGTATGCTTTTATTGTAAGTGCACTGTTCGAAGTGTGTTTACAGGGGCTCGCCATAGCGAGGGATTTGAACCTGGTGGCGAGTCAACAGGGCGCAACCGAGCACAGCGGTTGCGACCCGCGTGGCAGCTCAAGAGTCGAATCGACAGCAGGAGTCATCGTCTACAGTACGCGAAACGACCTGTGGGGCGCGGCAGGATACCGCGCCCTTGCCGAAGCTGAAAAGTCTCGCCAGCGCGACTGTAACAAGGCAACCCAAGCGACGCAGCGCAACTGTTATACAGTTGCGCCTTGGTAACTGTTTGCCCTATGCGTTTGCTATAAAACAGAATGTAATGCCTTGCTCATATTACACAATTCTCAAGCTTGTGTCCGGCCTACCCTCGGCCGCTGCTTTGGCACCACGTTACAAGCCAGGAGAGCTACCTCTGAGTGACCAATAGCCCCGCCGTAGGGACGTCGTTACTTCCTAGAGCTTCCGCTGCGCTCTAGCGACTTCTTATTTCCAACACCTGAGAAGACGGGGATTCCGCGATATACATGCACTCGTGTAGTGGAGGGGGCTTCTTGAGGGGGGGGGGGGGTAGTGTAAGGAATTTTCTCGGCATTCCTTACGGAGCCCGACTACATCGCGTACAACAACAGCCGTTGTTCGCCCGTTACTACTAACGGGACTTCGCCAACTTCGCGCGCAATGTTTTGCCAAACCTCGCACTGCTGGCCCGGCCGTGTCGGCCTACGCTTCGGGACTAGCCCAAGCCTCGCTGCCAGCATAGCACTAGCTAGCTCGCACGCACCACGTTACCGTTTGCATGTTTCACGTATAAATGTTCGCTCATGCCTTCGCTCACATCTTGATACTCATTTGACACCTTAGTGCAATTCTCGCTACTTCGATTCATTGCACCCGTAACACAGAGACAATTATCTGATGAGACCAGATAATCCAGAAAACGAAATCTCCTCGATGTTGAGAACCTCGAAGTTGGTGGGTGTACGCGGGCGTCCAGCGAGTGGAGTGTGTGTTGGGTTGGGCGGGAAAGCAAAAAGACAAGTCCAACGGTCAGTTGACGAACCCGTTAGTGTTATGCCTCGGTTTCATAGTGCACAATCAGAAGGTTTTGTAGAAAGTAGGAAATGGTCATCGAGAAAGGACCACAAAAACGTGGAGTGCAACACGACAAGGCATCTTGTCAGGTAGGATTTGATAAGTTCGCATGTACATAATGTGCCTATTGGGTAGAATTCGTTTGTCTCGGTGAGTGCACAGCACGCGGAGTGCCACCGCCCGCTGTGTCGTATGCAGCAAAAAACACCTGGTGGGTGTCAGTGGTGACTTTCAGCTGCTTCCGCTGCCCTGATCCAGGGATGGGCTGTCAAGGGGAAGCAAGGCAGGTGGAAGATGCCAGAGGATGGAGGACAAATGTTAAGGATACCTTGTGAGTGAAGAAAGGAGCACGTGGGGAAGCTCAGCTTGAAAAATCAACAGCGCTGGAGAAGGATTGGAGGAAGAGAGAGGATAACAGCGCACGCGTGGAACTCAGATTGATAAATCAACAGCGCTGTTATCCACCGCTCACCAAAAATCTCCAGCGCAGTTATCCTCTTCCTCGGATCCTGCTCCAGCATCCGCAGAATCAAATCTTTGGCGCCGTCCGAGATCGCCGCCCATCTCGGGTGCCGGAAATCCACATGCGCCGTCCGGATCTTGCGCTCAAGGTCAGCGTCAGTCGCCGCCCAAAAAGGCGGGAAACCGCAGAGCAGAATGTACAGTACCACTCCGGCGCTCCAGATGTCAGCTTCGGGGCCGTAGGCTCGGTCCAGCACCTCTGGTGCGGTGTACTCCACTGTCCCTGCTCGGTCTGTCCTGAGGGTACCTGGAAGGCCAACAGGGAGGGGTTGATGGAAGGAGGAAAGGAGAGTCGGTGAGTGGAGCGATGTGCCTTGAAAGCCGTAGGCTCGGTCCAGCAGCTCTGGTGCGGTAAACTCCACCGTACCGGCCCGGTCGGTCCTTAGGGTACCTGGAGGGGAAATAGAGAGAGCACAGGAGGAAAGGTGAGTTGATGGTTAGAGCAGCAGAGCAGAATGAACAGCACACCACCCCAGCGCAGCACAACACCACCGCCCTGCTGCCTGCCTGCCTGCATCTACCACTTCCCCTCTCACCTTTCTGTGTGCCTCTCCCTTACCTGGCGTGTGTAGGGCCGCTACACCGAAGTCGATCAACTTGATCCGCGTGTGGCATTCCTTGGACCGTAGCAGAATGTTCTCAGGCTTCACATCGCGGTGCAGCACCCCTTGCCGCCCGCACTGCAGCAGCGCCTCGGCCAGCCCGCGGCACAGCAGGGCGGCATCCCTCTCGGGGAACTGCCCCCGCTGCTTGATGCGGTCGAATAGGTCCCCTCCTTCACAAAGTTCCATGATCAAATGCACGTACTGTTAGGGGCATTGGAGGGGTAGGGGAGGAGAGAGAAGGGGTTATGAGGGGTTGAGAGGGGTGCGATTGGTTGAGTGAGAAGAGCACCACCCAGCAGCATTGTGCTGCTTGATGCGGTCAAACAGGTCTCCCCCTTCACGCAGTTCCATTATCAGATGCACGTACTGGTAGAGAGAGGGCGAGAAAGATGGATGGGCGTAGAAAGAAGGGGTTATGAGGGGTTGAAAGGGGTGCAATCGGCCGGCACAGCAGGGCGGCGCCCCTCTCGGGGAACTGCCCGCACTGCTTGATGCGGTCGAACAGGTCGCCTCCTTCACAGAGCTCCATGATTAGGTGCACATACTGTTAAGGGAGGTGGGAGGAGGGAAAGAGAAGAGCTTTTGAGGGGCTGAAAAGGGAACTGCCCTCTCTGGGAACCGCCCTCTCTGGGAACCGCCCTCTCTGGGAGGTTGCCAGTATGCCAGTATGCCCCGTACCTTGTCATGTCATCCTCCAAGGCATCACATGCAGGCAGGTTGATGATGCACGGGTGGTGGTCTCGCTTGCAGCAAGGGGCATGCTCATATCACATGTTCACACGACAGGACGCGGAGGTCTTATGTCCATCAACTTAAACTGAACAAGGGGCATGCTCATATCACATGTTCACACGACAGGACGCGGAGGTCTTATGTCCATCAACTTAAACTGAACAAGGGGCATGCTCATATCACATGTTCACACGACAGGACGCACTAGAATGAGAGGCAATGCCTCCGCATCTTGTCATCCTCCAAGGCATCATGCAGGTTGATGATGCATGGTTGAGTGGTGCAGCAGGTGACACCCTGCCACATGCTCTCATGCTCATACGCTCACACGATCACACATTCACACGATCACACATTCGCACATTCACACATTCACAAGATCACAAATTCAAATGCTACGCACCTTGTCATCCTCGAAAGCGTCATGCAGGTTGATGATGCACAGGTGGTCTCGCAGCAGGAGGCCATGCTGTGTGGCGTGCTCACGTCACATCACATGTTCACAGGACGCACTAGAATGAGAGGAAATACCATGACATGCCACGCACCTTGTCATCCTCAAAGGCGTCATGCAGGTTGATGATGCACGGGTGGTCGCGCAGCAGACCCAGAATGATCACCTCTGTTCGCACATCCTCCACATCCTCCTTGCACTGCAGAAAAGGGGAAAGGAGAGAAGAGGTGTGTTGTGAGGGAGGGTGTGTGTTGCACTGCAGGAGACCCAGAATGACCACCCTTGTGCGCATGTCCTCGTGTGATGAGGCGATTTTTGGGTCTACTCAAAAATCGACTCAGAATGACCACCCTTGTGCGCACGTCCTCCTATTCGCCTCTTCCTCTTTCCTCACCTTCATGTGTTCCTTCTTGATCGTCTTTATTGCCATCTTCACCCCCGTCGCTCGGTGCGTGCAAGGCCGAATCACGCCGTACCGCCCGCTCCCGATCCGGGCGGCGCTCACAGAATAAAATCTCTTCACGTTGTCGTACGGCATGCGCAGAATAAAATCCTTGAAGCTCACATTCCCAGAATCCACCTCCGCCGCCCCTGCCGCCCCTGTCGCCGCCCCACCTTGCCACCCACTACCCACCCCACCCTCTCTCCCCCCCACACCCTCCCCCCCTGCGCCCTCCCCCATCTCCCCTGTAAGACCTCGGCTGATATACGTGCTAAGGGTCTTGAAGAACTGCTGTGAGTGGGCGTCTAGGGATGCGCACCGGTGGTGCACGGATGGGGGTGCAGGTGCAGGTGCGGATGCAGGATGGACAGGGGTACGGGTAACAGGACTACCAGTAGCAGTAGCAGCGGCTGAGGCGTGGTGAGCGGTGGAGGGGAGGGCAGGCGAGGAACCGGCAGCAAGAGGAGCAGAGTGGAGAGGGGCATGATGGGAAGCTTGCATTCCTGGAGGAACCATCTGCATGCTGCTGCTGCCGCTGCCGTTGCTGCCGCCGCTGCTGCTGCCACCGCTGCTGCCGATGCAGCCGCTGGTGGTGAGTCCAACACCTGCGCTCGCATATCGCCGGAGAAACCCACCGCCCATGCTGCCGCCCATGCCACCGCCGCCCATGCCGCCGCCGCCCATGCCACCGCCGCCCATGCCACCGCTGCCCATGCCACCGCCGCCCATGCCACCGCCGCCAATGCCACCGCCTGAGCTGCCACTGCCATTGCTGGAGTTGTTTAGAGAGGCACCATGGGGGTGAGAGTCGCTCGTGCTGGCGCTGTTGCTGTTGCTGCCGGTTGCTTGGATCGCACTCAACCTGCGTATCAACGCCTCCTTCAGCTGCTGCAAATCCACCTGCCCCGTCCCTCCTTGCTGCTGCCCGTGCCCCTGCTGCACCTGCTGCTGTGGTTGGTGATATCCCTGCTGGCCTTGCTGTCCCTGCTGCTGCAGGTTCAACCGGTGCTGCTGCAGCTGCTGCTGCAGCCTCTGCAGCAGCTTAATCTGTTCCTCTTGAAGGCTCAACGCCGCTTGCTGTTGCTGCTGGGGCGGCTGCTGATGGTTCTGTGGCTGCTGCTGCTGCTGCGGCCGCCGCCGCTGCTGCTGCTGCTGCTGGTGCTGCGGCTGCGGTTGGTGCTGCTGCATGGTTTGATCCTGCTGCAAGCCCAACGAAGCTTGATGTGAGAGCGCACAGTCGTCTGCCTCTGCAGAATCCGTTTTCCTCTTGAGCTGCTGCCCATGCAGATTGAATGCAGCGGCAGGAGCAGGAGGAAGAGCAGCAGGAGCAGGAGGAAGAGCAGGAGGAGCAGGAAAAGTAGGACGAGGAGCAAGGGGAGCAAGAGGAGGAGCAGAAGAGTGAAGGGGAATGCATGGGCCAGCCGCGTCAGCACTGGCGCTGCCACACAAGACGGCAGGAGGAGCAGTAGGAGCAGCAGAAGGAGCAGCAGAAGGAGCAGCAGAAGGAGCAGGGGGAGCAGCATAAGGGGCAGGAGGAGGAAGGGCGCCACTGCCAATACCCACAGCATTCCCATTAGTCGCCGCTGCAACCCTTTCAGCCATTGCAGGCCTTTCAGGCAAACACACAGACATCCCAGCAGCCGCGTCACTCGAAAACGGGGACCTCGGGGGTTTGGGAGACCTCGTCACCGGACTGAACTCCCCTGCACCGCACTCCAAACCCGCAGGAACACTCAGAGCCGTAGCAAACTGCCCTGGGGACCTGAAGGGGCTTCTAGGGGGGAGATTGAGGTTGAGGGTTCCGCCGCAGCTGTTGCTATGGCTTAGCCCGAGGCTGCTGCCGAAGCTGGCGCTGCTGTGGTGGTTACTACCGAAGCTGTGGCTTCGAAGGGTGCGACGTGCGGTTACGGTGTTACCAGTGCTCTCACCACCAGCACCACCAGCAGCACCGGCAGCACCAGCAGCACCACCAGCAGCAGTAGCACCACCGACAGTGCTGCCACTGCTGCTGCTGGTTCCGAGGCAGCTGGTCCCGATGCTGCCGCTGCTGCCGAACCTCCGGGCTGCGTCCGAACCTGAGTGGTCGGACCGGTGGCGCCGATGCTGGCCCATAGGCCCGGTGCTGCCGGACGGGATACCGAGCCTCAGGTGCTGCTGCTGTGGGAGGTGCGGCCGCCGCCGGTGCTGCAGTGGCTGCTGCTGGGGTTGCAGGGACTGCTGCTGCAGCTGCTGCTGGGGCTGCTGGGATTGCGGCTGCTGCAGAGCGTGCTTTTGCTGCTGGGGCTGGGATTGAAATTGGGGCAGCAGCTGCTGTTGGGGTTGGAGCTGCTGCTGCTGCTGCTGCGGGGGCTGGGGGGGCTGGGATTGGAATTGGGGCGGCTGTTGCTGCAGCAGCTGCTGCTGGGGCTGGGGCAACTGGGGCAGCTGCTGGTGCTGCTGCTGGAGTTGGGGCAACTGGGGCAGCTGCTGCTGCTGCTGAGGTTGGGGCAGCTGTTGGGGCAGCTGCTGGGGCGGAATGGCTAGTTCTCCCCCTGCGCCCGCGCCTGCGCCGGGCAACTCATCCTCCTGCAAGCCGGAAGGTTCGTCCAACGCTCCCTCCTCTGCGCGATAGCACGCGGAAGCTTCCTGGGCGGACGAGAAAGCTTCGCGCGGGCTGGCCGCCCAAGGATGGGGGTGCGCGCGCGTAGGGGAATGCGCGGGGGACATGCGCGGGGAGAGATGCGGGGAAAAGAGCGGGGAGGGGCAATCTCCGCCGTCCGCGCCGAAAGGCGGCGTGCGCGGGGAGTGCATGAAAACAGGCGGCGGGTGGAAATCCACACTCAGAGCGCGCCGATGCGGCGCGTCATCCCCGTTACCAGCCGATCCGCCTGTAGCAACAGGTCGATTACCCCTCCCTGCCCCGATACCGTAATAATAGCTTCCCGTACCGTTAATTATCCCCATAGGTGCTGTTTCAACTCCTCCGGGTTTCGTCCTGGGATGAGAAGCCATGGATCCGTGTCGCTGGTGTCTTATTATCATTCTCTTTTTCCGGCTGTTGTTGCTTGTTGTAACAAAACCGCCGCCGCCGCTGCCGCCGCCGCCGCCGCTGCCGCCGCCGCCGCCGCCGCCGTCCCTGCCGTCGATTCCGTGTCCGGTGCTGTTGAACCGTCGGATCACCTCCCGTGCGACTGTGTCGCTGCTCTCGTTTCTGTCGTACTCGTCGTCGTCCTCGTCGCCCGAGAAGTCGTATCTAGTCGCAGCCTCAGCACCGCGACGATAGTCCATCTCGCTATTGTCACACGCGACAGCAGCCGCCGAATCGCGCATCTCCTCATCCGCCCCGCCGACGCTGCCGCAGCGGCTGCTGACGTGGCGATCGAGGCTGCCGCAGCGGCTGCTGACTTGGCGATCGAAGCTGCCGGACGGCGGGAGGCCGGCACGGCGAAACGACCCGGCGCGTTGAGAACCGAAGGAACCGCCGATACCGCCCCTGGCGATGGCGCCGCCAGCAACGTCATCACGAAGCGGTGGCTCGAAGCGCAACGAAGGGGCCGAGGCGAGGGAGGAAGGGGTGTCGGGATAGTAACTAGCAGGGTCGTTCAGTCCGTAATCGCTAAAATCGTCGGTCCACGCTATACTGCCGCTTCTGCCGCTAAACGTGCTGCTGCTGTGTCGGCTACTGACGGCGCTTCCCGCGCCGCTTCTAACGCCGCTTCGCCCGCCGCTCCTTCCGCTGCCGCCGGTGCCGTCGCTGAGAGTGATGTCTTTGAAGCCGCTGGTTACCCGGTTACTCCAATCGTCGCTACCCATGCGAGCGGCCAATTTGGATGCTTCCCCCCACCCGCCTGTCTTCGCTGTAAGCTCATCCATTTCCGACATTGCGCTGCTTTTTGCTCCTCACAAAAACTTCGCCTCGCCTTTGCAGTCTCGAAATTCCTCTCAACAATTTCGAATCCAGAGGCGTACCACCCAATTCTGTATATTCACCCTAACGAGGACGCACGTATCGAGGTGAATTGAAAACAGTCGTGCGGGTTTTGCTTGCGAGGAGTCGTTTAACTATCGCTCGACTCGTAAGTAGGATGCCTCCCCACGAGCGCCAAAAGTAAATGCACGCTTCATATGCAGCCTACCAACGCTATAACGACGTAGGATTTGCGTCAAAAAGCGTCCCTCAGGGCCTGTAGCCTAGTTCTGCTCTCGTCGTTGGTACGCGATTCGCCGAATCTAGAAAGCGGATTCCTTTTAGTCCAACTCCCAACCTGAAGGCTGGAACGGGTCTGCTCGGAGCGGCCAGCACGGCAGCGTGCAGCGTTAACCGGGGAGCTATGCCTAGCGCATCGCTAGAGCTGCTGTGGAAACCGGGTCTTACGACTCGAGAAGCAGGAGGTCGTGAGCACTAAAGTGACGCTCTAACAGTAAGAGCCAGATTAGGGCATGGACGGTGATCCTGGTGGTGGTGGTGATTGAAAAAAGAGCTGAACGAGAAAAGAAACACGGCCAGTGCTGCCGGAATTTTTAGAGACGCTTCTCTCTCACAGTCTACTAGAACAGTAACGCGTTCCTCCTGAAGATTAACACGCGTGCGTGACGGTCCTTGCTTGTAATCACGACGCGAAAACACGCGGTCGTGCTGCTGGTTGGATAGGGATGGGATGGGATTCGGAAGGAACTCGCTGCAGTCTAGCGGATCTGCTGCTGACCTCTCTGCTCTGCTGCTTCTCCTTCCTGCCGAGTGTTTCCGATTGGGCTCTCCCCATCAAGGTATGGTTGGCCATGGCGTTTCTTCGCCTGAAAGCTGCAGCTTTGATTGCCCGTCTGTTCTGTTTGTCTGGCTGGCGAGGCGAGCGACCTGCAGTTACTAAGCTGGGCCAGTGCGCGGTGGACTCTTTCTTTGGCTGCACACATAAGGTACGGTGGTGTGGTGAAACAAAAGGGTCGAAGAGTGCGGAAAACAGTAACTACGCTCGTTTGGACTTTTCTGGACGAAACGAATTGAAACGAGATGGAACGAAACCAAACGAAACGCGCTGCCGGAGCTCTGAATGTGTCGTGCGGTGGTTGGTTGGCTCTGGGTGATGTTCCAGGAGGCGTGTTTTTTTCGCACTTGCACCACCTATCTGTCATGCAAGTGGCTGGCCGAATAAAAAACGATTGGCCAATGAGAGCGGCCCGTTATGTCTCAAATGAGACGACTCACTGTCTTCGACCGTGTTTCCCAACTACAAAAACGAATTGCTTGAATTTTGACCGAGTTTTGCTGCAGCCCCCGAGGGCTGAAAAGGCCGTTACGCATGCGCAACTTTTTTTGAAATCCCTGAGGTCTGACGTTTTCCGTCCGTTTCGAATCATCGACACGAACATGGGTCTTGCTCGTTCCCGCCAATCACGACAGCAACAGTCATCGAACGGAGACAAACTCAACAACATGGTACAACAGTACAGTTGCGAAGTCCTCACCTCAGTTGTTCACCCACCCACGACTTCTCAACAGTACTTTGCGGGACATGTAACAGCCTACAACAGCTGTAAGGAATTTTTCGGATTCCTTACTGGGTCACACTGTACGCGTACAACCCCGACTTTCGGAAAACCAGGCTCGGTCCGCCGACCTCGCCTTCCGAGCCACTACCGCGTCGCTTTCGGGTTTCCCAACCCCGAACCTGCACCCAACCATCTCGCGACCCCGCGACCTCGGCCTAGCTAGCTTCGCTATATTAGTCCTAGGCCTCGCTGTGTTCTCAGACGTTGTAATCACTTCCGTATTATTGAGTCATGCGCACTCTTCCTTTCACAACTCATAACACGTGGTATCAGAGCCTAATTTCCTAGGTTACCCTCGCGTTTCTGGGGTAGTTTGTAGAAGGGGAGTGATAGACTTGGTGGGTTGTTAAGCGGTCGGCCCGTGGAATAGATCCGATTATTCCACTCCGACTACGATAGCATTAATGCCTTCACCGAAGTCAGAAAAATCGCTAGCCACCCCCTGCCCGTTAGACGAAGCCTGCGACACATGGACCAGGCGGAGTTCAACGAGTTCATGCAAGAGTTCCGGATGATGCAGGCCAACATGCAGACGATGTCTGCAGAAATGGCGCGTCTTCGGGAGGAAAACGCCGAACTACACCACGCGCGTGGTGAAGCGCGCCAGGAGTCGCCTGTCGTGGACGACGCAAGTAGCAGCACTGCACCAGATGAGCGGGTCTGGAGCGAGCTGGAAGGCGAGATGGATGCGGACGAGGCGAGGCAGGCGCAGCAGCAACAGTCACCGCAACAGTCGAGTGCAGCACCGACACGTGCAGCGGCGACGACGACGGCGACGCCGGCAGCAATGCCAACGGCCCCGATGGCAACAACGGCTTTTGTTAAAATCAAGCCGACAAACCCGCCCCCGTTTAACCCAAGTGACAAGTTCGTCACTGTTTCTGCATGGTTGTTCGGCGTGGAGGTGTTTTTCAATGCTGCCATGATTTATGACGATGCCACCCGCATTAATTTCGCAGTTTCACTGTTGCGAGGACCTGCGCTGGAGTGGTGGAGGCGAACGCTGCAGCACGAAGGGACTTCGGCAGGAATAGCACGTGCAAATGACGGGACTTCAACACCTGTCACGCATCAGGCAGCATCAATTTTTGGGACGGCTACGATACGCACATGGAGGGAGTGGGGCGCCGCCTTGCGAACCAGGTTCGAGCACATATCCGCCTCGGACTCTGCTCGCATGAAGTTGCGTGCCTGGAAGCAGCTGACTTCGGTCCAAGACTACACCAGCATGTTCTGCAACTTGGCGGACCAAGTGGACGACATGAGCGATGCGGAGCGGTTGGATCGCTACGTGGCGGGCCTGAAATACGAGATACAGTATGAGGTCCGAAGAACCCGGCCACGCAGCTTCAACGACGCCGTCCAAGAAGCCGAGTCAACAGATGCGCTGATGCAGTGGGCAAGATCGAGCTCCGGGAGGGCCCTCGATTTCGTGGATCGACTCAGCAGCCCACGATCAACGGCGTGGATGCACCAAGCCGAAACCTTGGGCCGTGCTTTTTATGCAACCAGCTGGGCCACCTGAAAAAAGACTGCCCGAGGCTTAAGCAGGGGAAGAAGAACGACGGAGAAGGGTTGGGAAAAGATACGAGTCAGTAGCAGAAGGGCCACCTACTGACGAGACCCTGTCGCCCGACAATCACCATCCACACCGGGTCGTGGTACCGATCTGAGCTATCGACCAGAACCGGACGAATAACGTGGGTGAACACGTGGACTACCCTGTGCTGGTGGTAGGGAGGGTTAACGGTTATAAAATACAGAATATTCGTTGACGGTGGGGCGAGCCACAGTCTCGTCAACCTGGCAACGGCCAAAAAAATGGGGGTGAAGCTGACTAGGTGTCTACCGGAGATTGACGCAAGGCTGGTGGACGGGACACCACTGGCCATCCGAGATGAGGCGCGAAAAATTCGGATACAGTGTGGCGACAAATTCGGGTTTGGCATGAAGATGTTGGCGACGACGTTGGACGGCTGCGATGTGCTACTGCGAAGAGATTGGCTGCAGCGGTTCAATCCGACGATCGACTGGACGACTGGGGCGTGCGTCGTGCGAGGATACGGAGGGAAGACGACGCTTCCGAAATGGACGGAGCCGGAGCCGGTGACGACACGTGTCAACGCGGTCAACATGGCGCGAGCGATGAACAGCGGAGCTCAAGCCTTCTTGGTGCACCTGTACGAGGTGACAGCTTCTGAGAAAATCGCGGACATCGACACCCTCTGCGCAGCAGTCCCCGAGGAATTGGCGAGCATTATTCGGAGGTATCCCGAAATTTTTGCGGACGACCTCCCGGACGGCTTGCCCCCCCAACGACCTGAGGATCATCGGATCCAGCTGGAGCCCGGCGCGCAACCTACTGTTCGGACACAGTGGTGACTCAGCCAACCAGAGCTCGCCGAGATGCGGGCCCAGCTGGATTACCTGCTCGCCAAGGGATTTATCCGGGCAAGCACGTCGCCGTTTGCAGCGCCGATACTGTTCACACCGAAGAAGGACGGGGGACTACGCATGTGCATTGATTATCGGGCGCTGAATCGGGTCACAATAAAATCGCGTTACCCGATCCTGCGAACGGACGATATGCTGGATCAACTTCGCGGAGCCCGGTATTTCTCGAAAATCGACCTGCGAGGAGGCTACCACCAAATTCGCGTGTTCGCCGACGACTGCCCGAAAACAGCTTTTCGCACACGCTACGGCAGTTACGAGTTTACGGTGATGCCGTTCGGACTGACAAACGCGCCCTCAACATTCCAGCTCAGAATGAACGGAATTTTCCGGGACATGCTGGACAAGAAGGTCATCGTGTATCTGGACGACATCCTGGTGTACAGCGCGACAAAAGAGGACCATCTGCGGGATTTAGAGGAGGTGTTCCGGCGTTTACAGGGGCATCGACTGATTACGAAGGGGTCTAAGTGCGAGTTTCTGAAGCTGGAACTGGAATTTCTAGGGCATGTGGTTTCTGGCGAGGGAATCAAAATCGACCCGCGTAAAGTGGACGCCATCGTTAAGTGGAAGCCGCCTACTAATTTCCCTGAGTTGCAAAGTTTTCGGGGGTTTGTTAACTACGTTCGCCGTTTTGTACCTAATATGGCAGGAATAACCAAGCCGCTGACCGACCTGCTGCACCACGACAGTGATTTCGGGTGGGGGGAGAGGGAGCAGTCCGCCTTCGACACCCTCAAAAACATTTTGGGTTCGCCCCCGGTACCCCGCCTCGCCGACCCATCTCGACCGTTCAAAGTCGTCACGGACGCCAGCGATTTCGCCGTCGGCGCCGTCCTGCTACAGGACTTCGGCCAAGGGCTGCAACCCATCGCCTACGAGTCACGCAAGATGCAGCCACCCGAGCGCAACTACCCTGTCCACGACAAAGAGATGCTGGCCATCGTCCACGCATTTCGTACCTGGCGCTGCTATCTCACGGGAGCCGACGTGACGATTCGGACCGACCACAAATCGCTACACTACATGCGCACGCAACCGACACTCAACCCGCGACAAATCCAGTGGTTGGACTTTCTCGAGTCCAATTTTCGGTACACCATCACGTACAAGAAAGGCGCCAACAACATCGCCGAAGCCCTCACCAGGCCATCCATGCAAAACGCGGCGGTACTAATCGCCCACACCAACCCGATGCTGACGGGACTATTCACCCACGGCTACAAGATCGACAGGTTTTTTCGGAACCCGCAACAACAGGCCGCCACACCGCACGGCAAGTACTACCTAAAAGCCGGTACGAACCGGATTTGGGTACCAGCATACCGACCTTTACGGGAGCTGCTGACGCAGGAGGTTCACGACTCCAACCTTTCCGGGCATTTCGGCACCGACAAAACACTGAAGCTGCTGCAGCGGAATTATTACTGGCCGGACATGCACACCGATGTGCAGCGCTACGTGTCAACTTGCCCGACCTGCCAAGCAATGAAGTCGTCGCGACAAAGGCCAGCCGTGTGAAATTGAACGAGAATGAAATGACTAAGGGAAAGATGGGTACAAGTACAAACCCTAGAAAGCTGTACCCTATATGTGCTACCCCACTATAGCCTACAGTAGCGATGTCATATAAATCTGACACACCCCCATAGGCAAAGTGGGGGAGAACAAGGGGTCACAAGACCACTCAAGCAAAGCAAAGCAAGCTCAGGGTGGATCACTAAGTCACCACACATTCCGAGCACAAGTTCAAGGCCACAAGGCCAGTTCATTCGCGGAATTACATATATATGTAAGGCTAGACAAGCAAGAGCAGGTGCATATATATATATGCAACAGTACAAACAAGGTCAAGGGGTGAGCAAGTGAGGCAAGGTAGGCACAAGACCCAGCTGAGTACAGAAGCGCTAATGATCACAAAACGCAAGTGCCTTGGAGAAGATATCAGCAGTGTTGGCCTCAGAGGCCACGTACGCAAGGCGCAGCTGACCACGCTGCTGTAGCTCATGAGCAAGGAAGTAGCGGAGAGCAATGTGCTTCGTTCTGTGCTCAAGTCTATGTTCTCGACACAAGGCCAGCATGGCCTTGTTGTCTACGTACAGCACTGGAGGAGAACGAGGCAGCTCTCCGAGGTCAGCCAGAAGGTAGGTGAGCCAGCCAAGCTCCTATGCAGCCATGGCCCCGGCGTAGATCTCAGCCTCACAACTGGAGCCGAGAACAGAAGACGAGTGGGTAGCCCGCCATGAGACAGAGCCGGAACCAAGGCTGAAGGTGTAACCCTGTGACGACCGCTGCATAGCCTGGTCGTCAGCCCAAGAAGCGTCTCCATGCCCAGTAAGGACCACTGGACTCTGCCCTCCAAGCACAAGCCCCATGCCCGACGTACTGCACAAGTAGTGCAACACCCTCTTCGCTGCAGCCATGTGCTCCGGTCTTTGTCTCCCAGGAGCAACATAGCGTGCTAGAATGCTAAGAGGGTATGCAAGGTCAGGTCGTGTGCAGGTCATCAGGTACATGAGGCAGCCAACAAGCTCTGGGTACGGGCCACTCGACTCTACGGACTCATCCGAAGGCAGAGCTGAGAGCGAGTGGCGAGTAGGCAGAGGAGTGGCCTGAGGCGAGGAGTACGTGAAGCGGAAGCACTGAAGGACCTGCTGCACCATGTGTGACTGAGTCAGGGTAATGGTGCGGCGTGCTCTGTCCCGGGTGATCTGCAAGCCAAGGTAGCTGCGCAGTTCACCCAGGTTTGTACACGTGTGTCTCTTCTGCAGCTCGGACTTCACGTGGGCGAGTCCAGCAGTGTCAGCAGTGGCAAAGACCAAGTCGTCGACGTACACGAGGATGTAGAACGGCGGCAAAGAAGTGTCGGTGCGCAGAAACAGAGACGGGTCGGCAGTAGAGGGAGCAAACCCAAGAGCCGCAACTGTAGGCCTCAGTGTGTCGTGCCACTCACGCGGTGCCTGGCGGAGACCGTAGACTCGCCGCCGGAGGCTCCACTGGGTACCAGGAGGGAACGACCCAGTGAAGCCAGGTGGGCGGCGTAGCCAAATCTCCTCGTGCAGGCTGCCCTGCAAGAAAGCAGTGCTGAAGTCAAGAGAGTGAAGCCCGTAGTCGCGCTGAGCGGCTATGTGCAGCAGCACCCGAAGAGTGGTCATCTTCGGGGTGGGAGAGAAGGTCTGAAAGTAGTCAACTCCCTACCGGTGTCTGAAGCCTCGAGCCATGTAACGCGCCTTGAAGACAGGCGGAGAACCCGGCGGCCGCTTCACCCTGAAAATCCACATGCCACTGACGATGTTCGCCCCAGGCGGGGGAACATCGTCAACGTAGGTGCCTGTGGACTTCCAAGAAGCCATCTCTGTGTCCATAGTTGCCTGCCACTGAGAGGAGTAGGGACCCTCTATCGCCTCCGCGTAAGAGCGCGGAGTCGGGATGTCAAGTGCATCCGGGTCTCCCTCAGGGGTAAGCAGTACGGACACGAGATGAGGTGAAGCAGCAGCCAAACACTGGAACTCCTCCTGCCTGTCCTCAAGGATGTCCGTGCCAAGGGCACACTCACCCCCGACGGACGGAGGATAGACAGACTCAGACTCAGCGACAAGACTAGCAGCGTAGTCTAGACGACAGCGAGCAGCGAAGTCGACGAGCTCAGCAACTAGGGCAGACGCAGCAGTGGACTCAAAGGAAGGGTCAGTGACGACAGTAGCAAGGAGACGCGTGACAGTAGGACTGGCAGCACGAAGAGAGTCCGACTCCGGGTCGGCAAGAGCAGGAAGCGAGGACTCAGGAGGAGAAGGCAAAGGGGCACGAAGAGGAGCAGTGGACGGACGTAGAGACATCCGTGCGTGCCAGGGACAGGAGGAGGACGCTGACGCGAACCACAACCACTAGTGCGAGCAGGATGGACAGGCGACGCAGGGCAAGACGCAGGCTCACGACGCTCAGCAACACCTCCAGTAGGACCAGTGTAGGGAGAAGGAGCAGGCAGTGGGGAGGCCGGCTGTAACTGTAACTGTGACGGGACAGGCTATGGACACTCTAAGGGAGGAGGAGGACCAGTAGAAGGCGGGAGACCAAGAACCTGCTGAAGGAGCGGAACGAAGTACGACCGAGGCCGCGCGGCTACTCCAGACACAGCAGGGACAGCACCAGTACCCCTAGCGGCAGCACGAGCGCCAGCAGCACCTCCAGCTCCAGTACCCCCAGCAGCACCAGTAGCACCCCCAGCAGGACCTCCTCCAGGACCGACAGCAGTAGCCTCAGCGCCAACACCCTCAGCAGCTCTAGCTCCAGTCGTACCTGCCGGCTCAGCAGCTCCAGTACTCCCAGTACGAGCACCTCCAGGACCCGCGGCACCAGCACCCTCAGCAGCCGAAGAACCTCCAGCTCCAGCAGCACGCCTCCAGCGCCGGGCAAACCACTCGCGCAACTCCTGTGGAGAGAGTGGCTCCCGCCGAGACGAAGCACCCTGAGAACCTCCAGGCCCAGCACCGCCAGACGCCACACGAGCAGGCCCAGCTCCCTCAGGCTCCGCACCCCCAGGCTCAGCACCTCCAGGTGGAGCACCCCCAGGCTCAGCACCCCCAGGCGTAGCAAGCCCAGGCTCAACACCCCCAGGCTCAGCACCCTTAGTGGTAGCACCTCCAGGCTCAGCACCCCCAGGCTGAGCACCCCCAGGCGTAGCACCCACACGCTCAGCACCCCCAGAGTCAGCACCCCCAGGCTCAGCACCCTCAGCAGCACCAGAGTCACCTGTAACCTCGACAGGCTCGACTGCGTCTACCTGGGACACACCTGAAGGGGTAGGACCCTGAGGGGGGAGGGGGTCTACCGGGGGGGGACCTGGCACAAGGAAGAGCGGTGGCGGGGGGAGGGACGGAGTGCGGTAGGGGAAGAGGCGGTAGTAGGGGACCGACTCGTCGAACGTGACATCCTGGGAGGACAGAACACGGCGAGAGGTGGGGTGGTAGAACTGCCACCCTGGCGCGTCAGGGGGGAAGCCAAGGAAGACGCAAGGAGCAGCACGAGGGGACAGCTTGTCCGCAGACAAGTCGCGGACAAACGCCCGAGATCCCCAGACACGGAACGCAGACGCATCGCCAACCTTCCCCGTCCACAGCAAAGCTGGGGAGGTCTCCGGCATGGAGACCATGGGGTGAAGGTTGATCTGATGCGCCGCGTACCGAATCGCAAACGGCCACAGAAAATGGGGGGCAGCCGCAAGCATCATGGACGTACGGGCGACGTCCATGACCATGCCAATGCGGCGCTCAGCAATCCCATTTTGCTGTGGAGAGTCCGGAAGCGTGAAGGTCTGGCGAATGCCTCGTGCACGACAGTAGGCTCGCAGAAGGCCAAAGGAGAACTCTCCGCCTCTGTCAGAGTGCAGACGCAGAACAGGAAAGTCCGAGCCGAAGTTCTGCCTGAGCTGGAGACGAGCTGCGCGGATCCAGTCGATCAACACCTCAGTGACATCACCCTTGCTGCGCAAGGGGAAGACTGTGGTGTAACGCGAGTAGTCGTCAACCACCAGCAGGAAGTAGCGCTCGTGACCTTGTCCACGGACGCGGGACGGGCCCCACACGTCCATGTGAAGCGTCTGCAGCGGGGCCTCTGTCGGAGGAAACTGGGAGGAGTGAGGGGCAGCCCGCTGCAGTCCCTTGACACAGGGGACGCAGGTAGGGCCAGGCCCCGGAGGAAGGGGAGGGAGGGACCGGGGAAGACCAGAGACAAGGACACGAGAGGCCATGCCTCGGAGACGAAGCAGGGAGGGGTGACCAAGACGGTGGTGCCACAGGAGAGTCTCGTGAGACAGGAGGCGACACGAGTAGGGGGCAGACTCAGGACCAGACCTGGACGCTGCAGCAAACACCTGACCCAACGCAACTACCTGACCAGACGCAGTGTCTGGAGGAGACGCAGTGGTCAGTGTGTACAGGCTCGACCCCGGCCGACGTGTAAACGTGGCCAGGTGTCGGCCTGTCCGAGCGTCCGTGCAGTGGGTCACCCGCTGACTCGCAGGAGTGAACTGGTGAACCCCCGCATCCTGTAGGTCAGCACCAATCACCAAGTTTGTAGAGAACGAGGGGAGGTAAAGGCCAGACAGGGTGCCAGAGGGGGCCGTCGGACACGGGAGGACAGTTGAGAAGTGAGCAAGGACAGGACCCCCAGAGGGGTCTGCCAGAGAGACTGCAACTGGCCGGCCAAGCGGCGTGAGTATGGTGCGGTCTCGAAAGAAGGAGCGAGAAGCCCCCGAGTCAAGGGTGAAGGTGTGGGAGGCCAAAGCCGACGCAGTACCTGAGAGAGCAGACTCACCAGCACCTGAGGGAGCAGACGCACGAGCACCTAGAGCAGCAGCCTCGCTAGCACCTAGAGCAGCAGCCTCACCAGTACCTAGAGCAGCAGTCTCAATGCCCAGGGGGGGGATGTCACGAGTGCGCTGCTGCTGCTGCTGCTGGCGTTGACCACCACCGGAGCCGACCCTCTGCGCACTGCCACCCCAACCAGCTCCACCTCCTCCGCCACCGCCTCCTCCACCGCCGCCACCTCCGCCACCTCCGCTCCCACCACCACCACCGCCGCCGCCTCCGCCTCCACTGCCGCCACCGACACCTCCACCCCCGCCACCACCCCCACCGCCACTCCCACCCCCTCCGCCACCTCCACCTCCGCCTCCACCGCCCCCGCTAGCTCCTCCAGCGCCCCTGCCCCCCTTGCCCTTGCCAGGGCGGCGTCTCCCGCTAGGGGTAGACGCCGCACCGAACGACACAAGACCAACGAGGTCGGCCGCAGCAGTAGAGGCAACAGAGGGCAAAAGGGGGGAGGGGGAACACCCCTCAAAGATGGGGGTGCGAGGGTCACCACGAGAGGCTCCTACAGCTACTATGCTCTTCTCTGCTGCTAGGAGGGCCTTCACAAGGAGGTCAACGGGAAGTTCTGGCAGGAGACGTGGACACAGTATGGTACCCGCCTTCAGTTTTCGTCGTCATACCACCCGCAAACCGACGGACAGACGGAACGGACAAATCAGACCATGGAGCAACTGATTTGCACCAACTGCCCCGACATTCGCAAATGGGAAGATTCACTGCCGATGCTGGAATTCGCATACAACAACGCCCCGTCGGCCACGACTCAACAATCACCCTTCTTCCTGAATTACGGGATAGACCCCGTGGTACCCTCTTCAACGACTGTGGAAAACCCGGTACCAAGATCGCAGCAGTTTGTCACGGAGCTGCAGACCGCCCGCACGAAAGCAGCTGATTTCATTCGTAGGGCTAATACCACGGCCAGTCGCCAGGCGGATAAACATCGACGGAATTTACCCTTCCGCGCAGGGCAGGTTGTGCTCCTAGACACCAAGAATCTCAGGCTGCCGCAGCCCGCGAAACTACGGCCCCGATACGTGGGACCATTTCGTATCATCCAGATGGTGACACCTGTCACCGCGAAGCTGCTGCTGCCCGACGACTGGAAAATACACGACGCATTCGACGTCAGCCTGCTGCGTCATTACGAACAGCCGCAGTCGCCAACTGTTGCTCGGCCAACCATCACGCCGACCACACGCCCCGTGGCAGAGCCCCCGCTGGAACCTTGGAAGATTACCATCGCGTGGACATGACTGCCACCGGCCGCTCAGTGAAATTTCTGCTTCGCTGGAAAGAACGCACGAGCGAGGACGACACGTATGTCGACGCTGACTCGCTACTGGGACATCCGGTTGTGGATGCTTACCTGGCCCGCCGAGGTGTCTCGGATATTCACCACCTTTCTTAAGGGGGGGGGGGGGGGGGGGGGTAGTGTAAGGAATTTTTCGGATTCCTTACTGGGTCACACTGTACACGTACAATCCCGACTTTCGGAAAACCAGGCTCGGTCCGCCGACCTCGCCTTCCGAGCCACTACCGCGTCGCTTTCGGGTTTCCCAACCCCGAACCTACACCCAACCATCTCGCGAACCCGCGACCTCGGCCTAGCTAGCTTCGCTATATTAGTCCTAGGCCTCGCTGTGTTCTCAGACGTTGTAATTGTCAAATGTTGTAGCCTGTAGTGAGGTTTGTCTTAGGGGGTACAGAAGTTAGGGTTTGTCATATGTACCCCAACCAACATCAATGCAACACCCATTCCTCATTCTGACATGGTATCAGCTAGGTTAGGATCCTGTGGGATCCCGTTCCTCCGTTCTCCGTTCGTACCTCCCGAGCCTGATCCTACCTCTCGTTCGTACCAGTTTAGTTGTTACCGCGCCTAGTACCGAGCCTAGCATCATCTCCCCCGTCGCGTCGCGCCCGTTCCCCCCGTCGCGTCGCGCCCGTCCCCCCCGTCGCGTCGCGCCCGTTCCCCCCGTCGCGTCGCGCCTGTTCCCCCCGTCGCGTCGCGCCCGCCTGTTCCCCCCCTGTCCCGTCGCGTCGCCCTGCCCTGTCCCGTCGCCCTGTCCCGTCGCGTCGCCCTGTCCCGTACCGTCGCCCTGTCCTGTCGCGTCGCCCTGTCCCGTCCCGTCGCGTCGCCCTGTCCCGTCGCGTCGCCCTGTCCCGTCCCGTCGCGTCGCCCTGTCCCGTCCCGTCCCATCCCGTCGCCCTGTCCCGTCGCGTCGCCCTACTCCGTCGCGTCGCCCTGCCCTGTCCCGTCGCCCTGCTCCGTCGCGCCGCCCTGCCCCGTCGCGTCGCCCTGTCCCGTCGCGTCGCCCTCCCCGTCGCGTCGCTCCCGCCCTTTCCCCCGTCGCGTCGCCCTCCCTAGGCCCTAGCCCGTCGCCCTCCCTAGGCCCTCGCCCGTCGCCCTCCCTAGGCTCTGGCCCGTCGCCCTACCCTAGGCCCTGGCCCGTTGCCCTACCCTACGTTTTGGCCCGTCGCCCTAGCCCGCTCTTCCGCTGCGACTGAGTCCTCTTCCCCCCCGGTTGTTACTCGCCTGTTCGTTCGCGTTGGTTCTCACTATGGCGACTCCGCGAGTTCTTCGTTTCGACGCTGACGGTAGACCCCTTGACTTTTCCGTCTGGCTTCTTCGCGCTCGTCGTCTGTTAGAGAGTCAGGTCCAGGGGGGCGAGACCCTCTGGTCACACGCTACTGGTGACCTCCCCGAGCCCCCCGAGCCTACCGCTTTAGGCCCTGCTCCTGACGACGCTGCTACGGCTCGCTTTGCCCGTCAGCGCGCTGACCGGACGGCTTGGACGTCGCGTGACGCTGCGGCCTGCATCGCACTCAGCAGCCTCCTCCCTGAGTCCGAGGAGGTCCACTTTACTCAGGTTCGCACCGCTGCTGTGTACCTCACTGCGATTAAGGCCCGCTACTCTACTCCCGCTACTGTCTCTCTCGGCCGTCTTTTCCTCCCGTTCCTGTTTCCTGATCTTGCCTCGTTTGAGCGCTCTGCTGACTTGATCGCTCACCTCCGCTCGCTCGACGCTAGTTACCGCGCTGCTTGCACTGAGGCACAGCTTGCACTGCTTCCTCCCCCCATGGCGATTACTGTCTATTTCATCGCCACTAGCCTCCCTGACCGCCTTGCCTCCGTTCGTGACGCGCTTCTGCTGAAGCACCCTAGTGAGCTGACTATCGAGGTCCTTGAGTCTGCACTCAAGGACGTCGAGAGCAACCTTCGTTCGGTAGCTGCCGCCTCTGGTACTGTGTCCCCCCCACTCTTCCACGGGTGCACAGTCCCGCAGTTACCCACCTTCACTGCCTCTCTTGCCACTGCCGCTACTGACGCGACTGCGGCTGCTGTTACGACTGCGTCGCGGTCCCGCGGCAGGGGGGGCAAGAAAGGTGGTTCCGGTGGAGGTGGAGGCGGAGGTAGCGGAGGTAGTGGGGGTGCTGTTGCGACTGGCGGTGGTGGGAGTGCAGCGTCTGGAGAGACCCCTCGTGCAGCGGCTGGTGACTCCACAGCACCTGCTGGTGGCGGCGACCCTCGAGCTCGTCAGTCGCCTCCTGTACTGCCGGCCCCGCTAGGTGGAGCAGCGGCGTGGTACCAGGCTCAGCGTCAGCAGCACCTTCAGCAGCAGCAGCAGCCCCTTTCCTCCCAGCAGCCTCAGCAGCAGCAGCGTCAGCAGCTGGCTCCGGGGTCGGGGCTGCGTCAGCCCCAGCGCGGTGCGGCTTACCCTCCCTGCCCCTACCAGGTTCAGACAGGTCCTCGTTGGGGCCACCCTTGTGGCCGCTTTCACCCCCCTGGTCAGTGCTTTGCTCAGCTCACTGACACGGTCCGGTTGACCTACGGGGTTGGCGGTCCTGCTCCTGACTGGCTTCCTCTGGTTCAGCGCCACGGCTCCGCTTTGTGGGGCATGTCTGCTGAGCAGTTAGTTGATCTGATTAGTGCTCCTCATGCTATGTATGCTGTTGTTGACTCTAGTGTTTCTGACTTTGTTTACTCTGGTGTTGTTAGCTTAGGTGCTAGTCTTGCTCAGTTGCCTGTTGCTAGTGTAGGTACTTGTGTAGACTCTAGACCAGCGACTACCTCAGAGGACGCTTCGCTGTCGTTCACACTGGACTCTGGAGCCTCCCACTGCTTCTTTCGGGACAGCACGACACTTACACCACTTCCTGCGCCTGTTTCTGTAGCGTTGGCTGATCCCACTACGGGACCAGTCACTGCACGTCACACTACCACTTTACCGTGTCCTGCTGCTCCCTCCGGGTCTCTCACTGGGTTTCACGTCCCCTCGTTCTCCCGGAACTTGGTGGGCGTGCGACCCCTCGTGAGTCAGCACGTGGGTGTGTGGTTTGAGCCTTCTGGAGAGACTGCGGTGTGTGTTGACGGAGACTCTTACCAGCCTCTTGCTACCTTTACTGCTGAGCCGGGCTCGGGTCTCTACACTCTTCACACTGGCCCGCGTGCGCCGCAGCAGCAGCCGCAGCAGCAGCAGCAGCCGCAGCAGCAGCAGCAGCAGCAGCAGCAGCACCAGCACCAGCGGCCGCACCAGCAGCCCCCCCTACTGCCATTGCCCCCGGTTCCCCCCCCCGTTCGGGTCCCCGCGTCTCACCAGGTTGCTACGTCCCCCCAGGTGTCTGTGTCGTGTCAGGTTCCTACGTCTGTTCCAGTCGCTGCGTCGTGCTCCTGCCGGTCGCTTGCCCACCCCACCGTTCTGTGGCACCACCGGATGGGGCACCCGTCCCTTCCACGTCTGCGCGCTATGTCTAGTCAGCGTCTTGTCCTAGGCCTCCCACGTGTCTTGCCGTCGCTGCCGCCTTCGCCTGCGCCGCCGTGTCGTCCCTGCGTCGAGGGTAGGCTGCGCGCCACCCCTCACTCCTCCTCCCTTCGTCCGGCCACCGAGCCTTTTGAGACGCTTCACTTGGACGTCTGGGGCCCAGCCCCTCGTCTAGGCCCTGAGCGTGAGCGTTACTTTCTGGTGGTAGTTGACGACTTCTCCCGCTACACCACAGTGTTCCCTCTGGCGAAGAAGTCTGAGGTGACTTCTACGCTGATCAGGTGGTTGCTCACCACTGAGGACACTCGTGGTCGTCGTGTCAGCTGTCTCCACTCCGACCGTGGGGGTGAGTTTCGCTTCGGCATTCTCGCTGGATTCTGTCGCGAGCAGGGCATTCGTCAGTCCTGGACGCTTCCAGAGTCCCCACAGCAGAATGGGGTTGCTGAGCGCCGCATAGGCCTGGTCATGGAGATCGCCCGCACCTCCCTGACTCACGCCTGTGCCCCCCATTTTCTGTGGCCCTACGCGGTCAGGTACGCCGCGCACCAGCTGAACCTCTGGCCACGTGTCTCTCGACCAGAGGTTTCACCCACCAGTCTTTGGACAGGGTCCCCTGGTGTTGCGTCACGGTTTCGTGTCTGGGGGTGCTTGGCTCTTGTCCGCGACACCTCCGCGGACAAGCTCTCGCCTCGTGCCGTCCCCTGTGTCTTCCTTGGTTTTCCTGAGGACTCCTCTGACTTCACCTTTTACCACCCTCCCTCTCACCGGTTCTTTGACTCCCGTGACGTCCGTTTCGAGGAGTCCACTCCGTACTACGTCAGGTACCCCAGTCGAGGTCTCCCGGTTCCTCCTCCCCCCCTCTTCCTGACTGCCGTTCCCCCTCCTGCTCCCCCGGTACAGCCTCCCCCCCCTGGTCCAGCCCCGTCAGGTGTGTCCCAGGCTACCCCTCCTCCTTCGGTAGCCCCTCCGGTACAGCCTCCCTCCCCACAGTCCTCCTCGCAGCGTGCCGCTGGTGCTAGCTCTCGAGAGGTTGGTGCGGCGCCTGTTCCTGTACCGGTTTCTGGTTCTGGGGGTGCTGGAGTTGGAGCTGGAGTTGGAGCTGGAGTTGGCACTGGAGTTTGTGGTTCTGGGGGTGCTGGAGTTGGAGCTGGGGTTGGAGCTGGAGTTTCTGGTTCTGGAGTTGGAGCTGACCCGGTGGGTGCAGAGGACTCTTGTCGTCCGGGAGCTGGTGCTGGCTGCGCGGACACTGGGGGTGCTGCGTCTGGGGGTGAGGGTGCGCCTCCTTCGGGTTCAGGTGAGCCTGGGTCTGGAGCTGGTGTTAGTGCTGCCTCTGGGGGTGGTGCGCCTAGTTCTTCTGGGGTGGACTCTGGAGCTGCCGCTGCTTCGGACACTACTCCACCCCCCCACCCCTACCCGACTAGGCATCAGGCTCGTGTTCGCCGTGCCCGTGACGAGCAGCTGGCGTTGGAGAGAGAGGAGAGGGAGTTACAGCGGCTGGAGGAGCAGCAGCGGCAGCTGGACCCGCAGGAGCAGCAGTCCCAGCAGCAGCCGCTTCTGCAGCAGCAGCAGTCGCAGCCGCAGCAGCAGCAGCCACTTCCTCCTCCTGTCTCGGGTCTTCGGATCCTTGGTCTCCCCTCCCCTTCTCCTCCCTCCTCCGCCTCTCCTCCTGTCTACGGTCCCACGTTTCCTCCTCCTGACTCCTCCCCCGCTGTTTTCCCCAGTTCTCCGCCCTTGTCCTCTTCTCCTCCGTCTCGTTCTTGGGCTACTCGTCGCTCCCCTCGTGCTCGTCCCTCGTCTCCTGTTCCCTTCACTGACCTTCGTACTGCCTTCCTTCTTTCTAGTCCACCTCGTCCGTCTCAGTCTGTGCTTCCGTCTCCTCCTGAGTCGGCCCTCACTGTGTCGCTCCCTACTCCTGTCACTGACTACTACCGCACGTACCGTCCTGTTCTCTCTCGTGTTCTCGCCTCTCTTGTTACTCACCCTCGTGCCTCTGTGTCCTCTATGTCCGCTCTTACTGCCGCAGTTACTGACTTTGCCTCTACCCGCCGCCTTGACTACGCCACCACGCTTGTGGCTGCTCCTCCTACCAGTCCTCTGGCCGTCGGGGGTGTGTCTGCCCTTGGCTGTGACGCCCTAGAGGACACGCAGTTTGAGCTAGAGTTCCTGGCGGCCGCTTCCCCTCATCTCTGTGCCATGCTCCTCGCCCCTGAGGGTGACCCCGACGCCCTTGACATTCCGACTCCTCGCACTTACGCTGAGGCAGTGTCAGGGCCTTGGGCCTCTCAGTGGAGAGCTGCCATGGACGCAGAGATGGCCTCCTACAGATCCACAGGCACCTACGTCGATGAGGTTCCCCCCTGGGGCGAACGTAGTCGACGGCATGTGGATCTACAGGGTGAAGCGGCCACCGGGATCTCCCCCGGTCTTCAAGGCGCGCTACGTGGCTAGAGGTTTCAGTCAGCGCGAGGGAGTTGACTTCTTTCAGACCTTCGCACCTACCCCGAAGATGACCACTCTTCGGGTGTTACTACACGTAGCAGCACAGAGAGACTACGAGTTACACTCTCTCGACTTCTCCACTGCTTTCCTTCAGGGCAGCCTATACGAGGAGGTCTGGTTGCGTCGTCCCTCGGCCTTCACTGGCACCTTCCCTCCTGGGACCCAGTGGAGGCTGAGGCGACCTGTTTACGGTCTTCGCCAGGCCCCTCGTGAGTGGCACGACACTCTGCGTTCTACCCTCTCTGACCTTGGGTTCCAGCCGTCTTCTGCCGACCCGTCGCTGTTCGTTCGTCGTGGCTCCACACCGTTCTTTGTTCTGGTCTACGTCGACGACCTCGTTTTCGCCACTTCGGACAGGGTTGCTTTGGCAGACGTGAAGTCCGAACTGCAGAAGAGACACACGTGCACTGATCTTGGTGAGCTGCGCCACTACCTTGGCCTGCAGATCACCAGGGACAGAGCCGCTCGCACCATTACACTCTCACAGTCACACATGGTGCAGCAGGTCCTTCAGCGGTTCGGGCTTCAGCACTCCACCGTACAGCGCACACCTCTAGCTGTTGACCACAGACTCACTGGTCCCTTTCCTGACGAGCCGTTTGAGCCTAGTGGTCCCTACGCAGAGCTTGTGGGTTGCCTCATGTACCTGATGACTTGTACTCGCCCGGACCTCGCCTTCCCTCTCAGCATCCTTGCGCGCTTTGTTGCGCCAGGGAGACACCGTCCTGTTCACTGGACGGCAGCTGTGAGGGTGGCGAAGTACCTAGCGACTACATCAGGCGTGGGGCTAGTTCTTGGAGGGCAGCAGTCTGTCGTACTCACTGGTCACTGTGACTCCTCTTACGCTGACGACGCTGAGACTCACAGGTCTACTCAGGGGTACTGTTTCAGTCTGGGTTCTGGAGCTGTTTCCTGGCGTTCCACGCGCTCCTCTTCTGTCTCAACCTCTATAGCTGAGGCTGAGATTTACGCTGGTGCCATGGCGGCACAGGAGTTACGGTGGTTGACCTTCTTGCTCGCCGACCTTGGTGAGCGGCCGAGCTCTGCACCGACCTTGTTTACTGACAACAAGGCGTCGATCCTCCTCTGTCGTGAGCCGCGACTGGAGAGCAGAGTGAAGCACATTCACGTCAGGTACTTTCTTCTGCGAGAGTTGCAGAGGCGTGGACAGGCTCGCTTCGAGTTTGTAGAGTCCGAGGCCAACACTGCAGACATCTTCACCAAGGCGCTTCCGCCTTGTGACCACCAGAGGTGTTGTGTGCAGTTAGGCCTTGTTGACACAGGTTCTAGTCATGCGTAGACTTGAGTTTATTGCTTGCTTCGTCTGTACACTTACTATATATACTTGTGATCTCTTGGACTGGCCTTGTGGCCACTGTTGCTTGTGCTCAGAGTGTGTGGTGACGTTGTGATCCACCCTGAGCTTTGTTTTCTTTTGGACTGGTCTTGTGACCGTACTCTTTTTTGTTTTTGCTAGACACCCCTCACATAGGCTATGGGGGTGTGTCAAATGTTGTAGCCTGTAGTGAGGTTTGTCTTAGGGGGTACAGAAGTTAGGGTTTGTCATATGTACCCCAACCAACATCAATGCAACACCCATTCCTCATTCTGACAGTAATCACTTCCGTATTATTGAGTTCTGCGCACTCTTCCTTTCACAACTCATAACAACAGCTGTTTCACTGTATATACAAATATTTCATGAGTAAACTGACATCATTTCTCCAACTAGAGAATGATTGAAGTGGGAAAAACGGTAGTTAGCTGGATTTTCCTACCTCACACATTGATACAGTTATGTCCACACATAGACCTGTGAAAGTACCACAATAGCATTGCACGTCAGGGCCTACTTTTAGATTTTAGGTACTCTGAATTCCAGAGTTGTTTTTTTGCCAACTCTGAAATCTAGGGTTGTTCTTACGCCTCACTCTGAGTTGTCAGAGTAACCCTATGTTTTGGGAAAAAAACTCAGGCACGTCAGAGTAATATTTTGCTTTACTCTGATGTTAGTTTCCTAAGGTGTATGATCTGTATGGGTAATTTGTTACGCCTTTCAGAAACTCCAGACCCGTCATAGGGCGAGAGCTGCATGACGGGCCGGGATCAGGTTCAGGCGCAGCAGCGTCAGTGTTGTCTGCATTGAACAGGGTGCGGAACAGAGTGGGGGGGAGACGCGTGGCTGTGATGTTGGGTGGGGTACGCAAGGCACCTGATGGTTGGGGAAATGGGTGGAGAAACTGTGAGCCAGCCGAGCACTAGCAGGCCTTGGCGCCAACAATTGAACTAAATCTGGATGGTGTTCTCGGCGACTTGGAGAAAACCCGATATTCGGGAGGTGGGGGGAGGGAGGGGGGGGAGGTGGGGGGGGTGGCTAGGGGGCATGTATCCTCTGTACAGAGTAAACTCGGTCCTTAGAATAAAAACCCAGAGAGCTCAGAGTAGCCTACAAGAAAACTCTGATAAATCAGAGAAAACTAAACTTTTAAAAGCAAAACCCAGCAGGTACAGAGTTCCTTTCAAAAACGACTCTGATTTTCAGGGAAACAGAATTGTGACAAGACTCTACAAGGAGTCTGCAATGCAGTCGTCATAGGATCCTGGAGGGGGGCACAGGTTACCGGTTGCACGTACCATAGTAATTGAATTGCTATCAAGGTTACCGGTAAGTAATACCTCCAAGAAACAATCAATACACAAGCCAGAAGAGCACAGACAACTCCTACCGTACCAAAGCCACACCTAAAGGTGCATTGTTTCGGTCAAGCACCAAATGAAAATCAGAACCGCTCGTGAGCCTATCGCCTACTAGTTTGTGCAATATTTTGAAGCCCCTCGCATCACAACATATGAAACTCCCTTCCAGATTTCAGCAGAGATACAAAACACTTCATAGCATGAGCCATACCCCAAGCAACTCTTCTTCATAGGAAAACCTTCACGCACATCAGCCATAGCTTGAATCACCCCCAAGCCACACGCACTTGAAAGAACGCCAACATCAGTGAGTCGCGAAGCTTCATACCGAATAACAGCTTCATGAGATGAGAGCACGCCTTGTGAGAAAACTGCACCCGCAGCTGCGGCTGGCTGTATCTTGAGGGCACCTTACACACTTGAAGAGTGAAAGCTTTGTTTCGGTTCTCATGGCGTAGTATGGTTCCGTTCCACCTTCACTCCCTGTCACTAGCATGCCTCATAAAAGAGCACTTGCGGCTGCAGGCGGCCTCTGGTGCATGAGCTGACCACGTCTGCCCAGCCCCCAACCACCTGCAGGGAGGTCGCACAACAGAGAAGAGAACAGCTTTCTGAGAATTTTTGAAAGCAGATCCAACATCTCACTCCACCTCATCTCACTCCTTCCATCCACCTCATCCCCCTCCCCCCCTTCTCACCTTGACAGTAGTGTCGTCGAACATGACCCACTTGCCCAGGTCAGCATGGAAGGAGAAGCAGTGGTAGTGCCACCCGTAGTAGCACACCACACACACCACACCACCCGCACCCTCTGCGGGCTCGCCAGGCCTCTGTGCAAGCAAGCACCTCACCTCAGCCGAAACATCCACATCATCACCGCACTCAACCTCTCTCCACCTCTCATCACCGCCCTTCACCTCTATCTTCTCACCTTGACAGTGGTATCGTCGAACATGACCCACTTGCCCAGGTCCGCATGGAACGAGAAGCAGTGGTAGTGCCGCCCGTAGTAGCACACCACACACACCACCCGCACCCTCTGCGGCCCCCGCAGGCCCCGATACACCACGCCCACATCCATGTGCACGTCCAGCGCTGCCAGTGTGAGGCCTATGTCCTCTGCCTCCTCCCTGTCGCTCTGCCATCCCAGGACTGTCAACAGGGCAGGGCAACGAGCAGCGAAAAAGGGAAGGAAACCACGAAAGGGAGTCAAGACAGGGCCCGGCAGCCCCCGGTACACCACGCCCACGTCCATCTGCACGTCCAGTGCTGCCAGAGTTCAGGCCTATGTCCTCTGCCTCCTCCCTGTCGCTCTGCCATCCCAAGACTGGAAGATGGGAAAAAGAAGGGCAGAAAGCAGCGGGTATTGGGACGAGGCAGAAGAAAGGTAAGGAAGAGAGGGAGGGGAGTCAAGGCAGACCCCGATACACCACGCCCACGTCCATGTGCATGTCCAGCGCTGCCAGTGTGAGGCCTATGTCCTCTGCTTCCTCCCTGTCGCTCTGCCCACCCCAGGACTGCGAGTGGGTAAACAATGACGGGAATTGGGAAGAGTAGGCAGACAGGGAGGGGAAAGTCAGGGCGAGTTTTGGGGCGCCTTAGAACTAGATGGATAGCATACACATTCCTCCTTCCACCACCACCCAACCTCCCCTGCACTTTCCCTCTCCTCCTACCAGATGCCCACATGCTTACCAGTGGTGAAGATGGGTGGAGCACGGCGCAGAACATGATGAATGGCGTTGGGGGGTCCGCATCCCCCCATGCACCCCCCCGTGCACCCCCCCCGTGCACCCCCCCCGTGCACCCCCCCATGCACCCCCCCGTGCACCGCCCCATGCACCCCCCCGTGCACCCGCCCGTGCACCCCCCCATGCACCCCCCCGTGCACCCCCGCGTGCACCCCCGCGTGCACCCCCCCGTGGACCCCCCCCGTCTGCACCCCCCCGTGCATCCCCCCCGTGGACCCCCCCCGTGCACCCCCCCGTGCATCCCCCCGTGCACCCCCCCGTGCATCCCCCCGTGCATCCCCCCGTGCACCCCCCCGTGCATCCCCCCGTGCACCCCCCCGTGCATCCCCCCGTGCACCCCCCCGTGCATCCCCCCACACACCCCCTCACCAGTGCATGAAAGCCCTTTGAACCCACCAGTGGTGAAGATGGGTGGAGCGCGGCGCAGCACGTGCTGAATGGCGTTGGGGTGCCCACATCCCCCCACCTCCATGTCGCACCGGCAGCAGGTGATGCTGCTCCATGCCCGCCAATAGCTCGTCCATTCGACAATTAGGGTTGCCCAGCTGTGGGAGGGGTTCAGAGGGGTGAAGGAGGGGTTGGGAGGGGTGGAGGACGGGGGGCAGCAGCAACCCCCCACCTCCATGTCACACCGGCAGCAGGTGGTGCTGCTCCATGCCCGCCAATAGCTCGGTCCATGCGATAGCTCGGATTGCCCAGCTGTGGGGAGGGGTTGGGTGAGGTGAAGCAGGGTTTTGAGAGCCTGGTGACGAGGGGACAATGGGGCAGCAGGTGGTGCTGCTCCATGCCCGCTAATAGCTCGTCCATTCGACAGGTCGGATTGCCCAGCTGTAAGGAGGGGTTCAGAGGGGTGAGGAATGAGTTAAGAGGGGTGCGGAGGAAGGTTGAGAGGGGGAGGGGGACGAGGGAGTGTAGCAGCACCCCCCCACGTCCACATCGCATGGCAGTAGGTGGTGCTGCTCCATGCCTGCTAATAGCTCGTCCATTCGACAATTAGGGTTGCCCAGCTGTGGGAAGGGGTTGAGAGCGGTGATGGATGGGGTGGGAGTGGTTAGGGGGGAGTCACGAGGGCAGGGGGAGGAGGGGGGCAGCACCCCCCCCACATCCACGTTGCACGCAGAGGTGATGCTGCTCCATGCCCGCTAATAGCTCGTCCATTCGACAATTAGGGTTGCCCAGCTGTGGGGAGGGTCAGAGGGGTGAAGGAGGATGTTGAGAGGGGTAGCGGACGAGGGAGTAGCAGCACCCCCCACGTCCACATCGCACGGCAGTAGGTGGTGCTGCTCCATGCCCGCTAATAACTCGTCCATGCCACAGGTCGGATTTCCCAGCTGTGGGAGGGATTGAGAGGGTGTGAAGGAGGAGTTGGAGGGGTGGAGGACGGCGGTCAACAGCAACACCCCCCCCACGTCCACATTGTCCATTCAACACGTGGGTCACCCAGCTGCGGG